AGTCATCCTATCCGATCACGTGACTTGGATCAACCAATCATCTTCCCTATTTTCACTCAACCTCCCTCAACCAAAAGGGGGTTGCTGCGGACTGACACTATACTACTCATGGTACAGTGGTCATGTGCTAGTAGAACATACTTGCAAGACTTGATATAGTAACTTATTTTCAAAAATGTTCCCTTCTTTGTTGTTTGTTCTGCAGGAATTGAGAGTATAAATATTGGAATGTGAGCTTAGCTTCTTTTGCTTGCCTGCGTAATCATTTCTGTTTGTGTGTCAACTTACACTACCCTGTTGAATTTTTTTATGTTTGATATTTCATATTAATATTGCTCCATTTGCTCTCTTTCTCCCCCCTCCCAGGTGTGGTGACAATACAGATAGATGTTTTCTGTGTTCTGACATAGCCTACAAATGAAATCCAGTATACAGAAACTGTTTTTATGTCATGTAATATTTCTCTCTGCAGTCGTTTGTACAAACCTTTTTGTGTGCACAAAATAAAGCTGTTAATTCTACCTTGTGTTTGCACTCGTACTATTGTCCTGATTCAGCAGATTCAGTGGTCCACCTGACTCATTTAGAAATTGCCTTTAATATGTTTTTGTATTTATGGAGTCATAAATGTAAAAACAGTTGTTTGTTTGTTGTTTTACGCCGCACTCAGCAATGTTCCAGCTATATGACGGCGGTCTGAAAATAATCAAGACCAGACACTCCAGTGATTGACATCATGAGCATCGATCCACGAAATTGGGATACGATGACATGCATCAACCAAGTCAGTAAGCCTGACCAGCCGATCCGTTATTCACCTCTTATGACAAGTACAGTCGCATTTTACGGCAAGCATGGGTTGCTGAAGACCTATACTACCCCGGATCTTCACGGGTCTGCAAAAACAGATATGGGCGTTTGGGTTGTCTAGTGGTTAATGCTGTCGCTCGTCACCCCGAAGACCCAGGTTCAATTCCCCATATGGATACAATGTGTCAAGCCCATGTCTGTTGTCCCCCGCCATGATATATCTGGAATATTGCCAAAAGCGGAGTAAAACCACTCACTCACTAATTCACTAATAAGAACAGATGTGCATACAGTGTAAAATAATCAAGTAAATATGTAAAAAATGATAACCACAGGTTTGTTTATAGTTGTCATGGCCTATTTTCATTTTGCTTTATGGAAACAAATGAGGGAAGAAATTGCTTTGTCAGCCAATCACTTTATTTAGGCCACACTTTTTAAATTTGGTTTCACAGATTTATTCTAGCTTTTCCACACCAGGTCGGTCAAAGTAAAAACTAAAATAAATGTGAATTATCTATTTGTATGGAAGTCATTCTGATGTGGAGTTAAAACTAAGGTGGCCGCTTGAATCACTGATAGACATGGAATTTATATAAAATCATAACATTTTGTATTGTATAAGAGATCTGTAGGGAGAGACAAAATGAAAATATATGTTATATGTGTAATTTATTTTCTTCGACTGGCTGCTTTTCAATAGGAGCAGTGGGCCCAGGAAACGTAAAATAGAAAATGTGTCTGGTCCAGACTCGATTATTTACAGACCGCGGTCATATAGCTGGAATATTGCTGAGTGCGGCGTTAAACAACAAACCAAACCAACGTGCATCAACCAAGTCAGCAAGCCAGACCAGCCGATCCCGTTAGTTGCCTCTTATGACAAGCACAGTCGCCTTTAACCGCAAGCATGGGTTGCTGAAGACCTATTCTACCCTGGATCTTCACGGGTCTGTAAAAACAGATATACCACTAGGCTACCCGACCGCCCATACATGTAAAAACATTTATTTCTTACCTACTTACTTACTTTGGAGATTTAACGTGCGCTTTCCGACTGATGCATATTTCGCACACGGACATTTATTTCTTAGACTGGCTGCTTTTCAACAGAGGCAGTGGGCCCGAGTTATGACAAATGTGTGGCCTCTGTATTGTTTGGAAGGCAATTGATGATTGCAGTATGTGAGTTGGGTTTTAAATGCTTTGAATTATGTCTTAATTTGGGATGTCAGATCTTTGTATCCACTAGTTGCAAATTTACACCTGATACTCCCAAACCGATTCATGTACAAAGGCGGTATCGGTTTTCAAAAAGTAATCTTTACAAAGATTTGCAACTACTAAATGCATACCCGAAACAAACTAATAAATCTCATTGCATAATACTAGCAGAATAAGATTAAATTAACCAGGCATGTTTGTTTAAATCAAAATGGTTGATAATAATACACTGCAGGGGGGAATATACCATGAGGGCTGCTGCGCCCCTCATGGTATATTCTCCCTGCAGTGTTTTATTGTACGATAAACAAGTCGTTTAATTTTTATAGGAGATATCAACATTACATACAGCCTCTTTAAGAATGTCAGTTGAAAGTAAATGCTTTACCCGTATTTAAGTAATGACTATTCCCAAAATAGAATCCGATCGCGGCAATGTCGGATTTATGAAAAAGGGATGGGGGTAAATCTGGTCCTCCCGGCATATTCTCACAATTTTCACATCCATTATCAGAACCTGTTCTCCCAAGACTGAATGTCACATCTCTCCCACTTCTGGATGCGAACATTAGGCCATTTCGTTACATCTACGTTTCAAAGTTACACCTATGGGAAACAACTCAACATAGACACTTCCCTCTAAAAAAATAACGTCATCCAATTTATGACGTCTTCAAGTTGTGTGAGCATGTTCAAATCTCCAGAAATGATGTCAGGCCATCTTCCCGAGGCAAGAGAATTAACTGACTATAAAAGTCCAGTTTCCACCCTTGCCAAACTAGGCTGGTATTATGGAGTTACATTTTGGCTGGACTAACGAGTCTATGTATAGTCCAATCAAAATCGCGCACTGAAATCGAAATTCGGTTCGTCAACTGTCGTGCAGATTTTGATCAATTGCATGATTTGCAAAGCATGTGCACCACCAACAGCAGATATTTTCCAAATCTTTTTATGAGTTTAATCAAGATGCTCACATGATTTGATGCATTTCGCAATGCAAGTTATCAAAATATAGATCTTGATTATCGATCAGATCGTCCTGACTGGGCGCCACCATTTTGTGTGAAGCAAACGCAAGTAATACGAGAGGTGGAATCTGATTGGTCCATAGGAGAGGCTTAGAAGGGACATAACTGGTAAGTGGCGCTACGATCAAGCACAGTAATTCCAGCCTAGTTTGGCAAGGGTTGAAACTGGACTTTCAAAGTCAGTTAACTCTCTTGATGTGTCATGATAGAACAATGTTTTATTGTGCAATAAACCATGCTTCATTATTTTTTGCGATTTATTGTGTATCTATCTTTTATGTTGATAAGTGAGGGAGGTGTATCGTAACCTTTAATTTGAATTATCTGACAGTGTGTCAGCCGGTGGGACAATAACCGCGAGAACCAGATTGGTGCAACCAACAATTACAGGTATGGTGCTAAGCAGATCTTTCATTATAACCCACTGCTGTGTTCAATAAAAGCTGCCCATCCACAAGAAAAACTCTGAGTAATATCACTTTTATATATCACAACTCAATTCCCTTCTACAATTCCCTCCTTACATTGACCTACCAAAATGACAGAATAAGTATCAGAGCTAACATGTTTATTATTGTACAAAAAATACAATCACAATGTTCAAAACATACAAAATATTCATTAAATACCAAAGCTGTCACATGTCCTTGTATGTGATATGGTGAGTTGAGGTGAGGTGAAATGGGGTTTAACGTCGCGTCCAAGATTATTGCACATATATATCGATGTGCATGTACGTGTGTGTGTGTGTGTGGCTGCTTGTACTAGCCCGGACTGATGCCGATTTATAGTGCTAGGTCACTGAGATACCATGCTGCAGTTTAACATAAATACCCTACTCAGACACAGTATACTGACTCCGAGCCGACCAGTCCTTGTTTTGGCCCCTTAATGCCAAGCGCCAGACAGGATAGCAACAAGTATCATCTTTTAACGTCTTCAGGTATGCCGCGGTCAGGGATCGAACCGCGGACCTTCCGCTCTCCGGGCAGACGCTCTACCACTAGACCACGGAGGCGGTCGTATGTGATATGGAGAAATGACATATGGTGTGTTGAAGTACCTGGATCCGCCATGTCCTTGAACTGTTCTGAGAAGACTGTCTCTCTGGTCTAGTGGTAGAGCCTCTGCCCGGAGAGATGAAGGTCTGAGGTCGATCCCAGCCACGTCAAACCAAAAGACATTAAAAGTCGGTACTTGTTACCCTGTCTGGCGCTCTGCATTAAGGGGCTAAAACAAGGGTTGGTCGGCTCGGAGTGGGGTTACTATGTCTGAGTGGAATATCCATGTTAAACTGTGGCATGGTATCTCAGTGGGCTCGCACTATAAATCGGAATCAGACCCTCGTCAGGGTAGGTGAAATGGCTTTTATCGTCATGCACAAGATTATTCTTCTGACCCGTAAAGATCCAGGGTATAATAGGTCTTCAGCATTCCATGCTTGTCTCCCTGTGAAGATCCAGGGTAGAATAGGGCGTCAGCAACCCATGCTTGTCTCCCCGTGAAGGTCCGGAGTAGAATAGATCTTCAGCATCCCATGCTTGTCCCCCCGTGAAGATCCAGGCTAGAATAGGTCTTCAGCATCCCATGCTTGTCTCCCCATGAAGATCCAGGCTAGAATAGGTCTTCAGCAACCCATGCTTGCCGTAAAAGGCAACTATGCTTGTCATAAGAGGCGACTTATGGGATCGGGTGGTCAGGCTCGGGGTTACCTTACGACAAGCATAGTTGTCTTTTATAGCAAGGATGTATTTTACTCCAGATCTTCACAGGTCTAACTCATACGATGCCTGAATGTTTGGTCTGACTATGAAGCAGTATGCTCATGATCATGAAGAAGGAAGTCAACACATACACTAATTTTCTTCATCTGCAGGAACTTTGGAACAATGATGTGCCATTGGGCGGTTTGTAGTGACACGAAGAGGATGAAAATATAATAAATATTTCATTACGGAGAAAGTAATTAGACTCTATTCACAGCATCTTGTATCATATCACCATAACTAACAACATGCATCATATCACGATTTATGACTACCAGTAAGCAGCCCCATGTCCTGTCAATCAGCAATGTTACCAAGGAGACAACAGAGAGGCAGCCATCTAATCCCCCCTCGGCTGCCATTGTGGTCGCTGCAGACCCAGGGGAGTATTCTCTCCTCATGGAATAATGTACTGATAGTCTTGTCACTGACAGTCCTGACCCTGTTTGATCAACTCATCAGAACATCCATCATATGTACGTTTATCATGGTACTGGTGGGTTGGCTTTCCGCAGCGCTAGGTACCCGGTAACGAGATCACTCGGCAACATCCTTGCTCTCGTAAACTCCTCAGTCGTAGCATACCTCATCTTGGTCTGAGGGTCTGTGTACGGAGCCTGCAACATGACACGTGACATAAACCAGTGTTATTATTCACTGTGAATTGAGTGAGTGAGTGAGTGAGGTTTTACGCCGCTTTTAGCAATATTCCAGCAATATCACGACGGGGGACACAAGAAATGGGCTTCACACATTGTACCCATGTCGGGAATCGAACCCGGGACTTCGGCGTGACGAGCAATTGCTTTAACCACTAGGCTACCCGACCGCCCCTATTCAGTGTGAAGACTGAGTTTCTGAAGTTGAGAAAAGTGACATTTTCACTGCAGTGAACATAACACTTGATATTTCACTGCAGTGGGGGGGTGAACCATCCCTGTGAGTTAGGTAGGGAGAATTTACATTTAAAGGTTTTACATTTGTAATGAAATAATTTAATTTTCATCATGTAGACCTACACAAAAAGTATATAATAAATAGAATATTCCACATGTCTCATGAAATATCATGTTTCTCTCATCTCATGACGAGGTAGAGATGAGAGAAACATGATATTTCACTTGACACATGAAATATCCTCTATTTATCCTCTATAATATCATTATTATTAAAATAGTGAATGCAGGAATGTCAGTTGTACATAGCAGCATAATCACAGCAGAAGATACAGAGAATAGTGGTTTGGTCTTGAAAGGCTATCCTTAATGGCTAGAATAATATTTTTTTACAATGTAACATCCATTGCTTCGTGGGTGTCTCTTTAACCAAGTAAATCCTCCCAGATCATCAGCAATAATGCAGCCCATTTTTACATGTGTGAGTGAATCTGGTTTACTTCCACTTTGATTGGTTGGTTTGTTGTTTAACGTCGCACTCAGCAATATTCCAGCTATATGACGGCGGTCTGTAAATAATCGAGTCTGGACCAGACAATCCAGTGATTGACATCATGAGCATCGATCCACACAATTGGGATCGATGACATGCATCAACCAAGTCAGCGAGCCTGACTACCCGATCCCGTTAGTCGCCTTTTACGACAAGCATAGTTGCCTTTTACGGCAAGCATGGGTTTCTGAAGACCTATTCTACCCCGGATCTTCACGGGTCACTCCCACTTCAGGACCTCATTTAAAAAAATGCAGCTTATTTTTATATATAAATAGATAGACACATAAATTTGCTGTAGGCTATAAGGACCCATACAACTTTGGCCCCGACACGACATCTACAGGCCTACTGGCAGGTGTTTATTTCTCTATAGTGAGTGAGTGAGTTGGATTTAACGCGGCTTTTAACAGTATTCCAGTTACATCATGGCGTGTCAGCTATAATGTGAGTGGAAAGCCCGAAGTGATGCATGTCTTAGACGTTTACCACTTCGGTGAGACCCACGAGCACGGGTATGGTGCTGACAAACCTAGAAACATAATCGGGGCGAACCGGTATTCGAACCCACAATCATAGGTTTCTGGAGTGCCCAAGGGACGAACTCTGCCCATCGAATCGCGGCACCTTCGATAAATGGGCCACCCATGCCCCCTATCAACTCTATAGGAAAGCCCAAAGTGATGCAGGTATTAGACGTTTACCACTTGGTGACACCCAAGAGCATGGCAGGTGCTGACAAACCTAGAAACATAATCCAAAGGGGATCTGGGATTCAAAGACGAGAACACAGTAAGGATCCTGGCACAGCTAAGTTACGTAACTCTGCACAGCAAATTTAGGCACCATATTTCTGCTTTAGAACACTGAACGATTATGACGTTTTGTTTTAGTGATTCCAAACTATACCTGTAGACATCTTACCCCTTTCTTTTGTTATCCAACATTTCCACTGATTACAACAGCAATGACTGATAACTGCAGTTACATTTACCGTGTTTACCGCAATCTGAGATATTAGCCACGAGACCAAAGCCCGAGTCTAGTAAAATTCTGTTCGGTCTAGTAAGCTCAGCAAATAATAGTCACTAATAATAACAATAGTCATAAACTAACCACAAAATCTATTGAAAATTATGCTAAGAGTCAAGTTCATGCTATTAGACTCAGGAGATTTTAGCACAGACTGTTATCGGCACTCTAATTTGTTACGTTAGACTACCTATGGCCAATATTCCACATATATGATGTAGGTCTTGCCCAGACAATCCAGTGATTGACATCATGAGCATTGATCAACGCAATTGGAATATGATGACATGCATCAACCAAGTCAGGGAACCTGACCACCCAATCCTGTTAGTTGCCTCTTACGACAACCATAGTCGCCTTTTATGGCAAGAATGGGTCACTGAAGACTTATTCTACCCTGAATCTTCACATGTCCCTAACTGCGAACTGTTTCACAGGAGAAAGTAAATCTGAATGATGTTTGTGTATTTGATAACTTACCTGCAGGCCTGATAGGTCGGAGTATTTCTTAGCTGGTTTAAAGGAGGGTGGAGCGTCTATTCCACCATCTGTAATGTAAAATGCTTTTCTATCAAGGAGTTACCATCTTCCCACAGCAAGGGAGTTAACTGACTGTAACGTCCAGTTTCCATCTTTTCCGAACTGGGCTGGAATTTCTGGGCTCAATCGTGTCCCTTCTATGTCCCTAAAACTGACCAATCAGGTTCTACCTCTCATATCACTTGCATTCACTTCAAATAAAATGGGGGTGCCCAGTCAAGACGATCAGATCGATAATGAAGATCTATTTTGTAGAAAATATAGGTATTACTTAACGAAGTGCATCAAATCACGTCAGCACCTTGATTAGAAACATGAAAGGATTTGGAAAATAGCTATTGAATCCAAGTTGATGGTACACATGCTTTACAAATCCTGCAATCGACCAAAATCTGCACGACAGTTTACGAACCAGATGTCGCTTTCGTTACGCGATTTTGACGAATGCATTGACTCATTATTCAGTTAACTCCCTTGCCTCTAGAAGACGGGGTCCAGCCAAAATAGAACTCCATATTTCCAGCCTAGTACGGCAAGGGTGGAAACTGTCAGTGAACTCTCTTGCCTCGGGAAGCTGAGAATTTTCTCAAACTAATGTTATTCTGCGGAGTGTCCGCCAGAGAGGTAATTAATCATGAGTGAAAGATCTGATTTTAATGAAACTGAATAATATCAAAACTCATGCTTTCAACTGAAATTGGGGCGGTCGGGTAGCCTAGTGGTTAAAGCGTTCGCTCGTCACGCCGGAGACCCGGGTTCGATTCCCGACATGGGTACAATGTGTGAAGCCCATTTCTGGTGTCCCCCGCCGTGATATTGCTGGAATATTGCTAAACCAAACTCACTCACTCACTCAACTGAAATTCTTTGTAAACGACCTGTCAATAACAACACATATCAAGACAGTATATCCCAATCCTGCAATATAACAAAGACTACTCATTCTGTACAATTGAGACAAAAGCTTGAGGTGCTTAGAACCCGCATGACCTTCTTGGAAAACAGTGTTGTCTTATTTATTGATTGATATCTTTGAATGTTACACCAAACTTACATGTGACATCATTTGGCTGCCATGGTAACGAGCGTTCAGCTGCTATGATCTGTTTGAGGTTCTTCCAGATGCGTGTCTTCTTGTTCCCTGCAGCGCCTTTACTGGAATGCTGGGACAAAAGGGACATAACTCTGTGATTGTCAGTCACTTAATGGTAACAAAACTGAAAAGATTCCAAGATGAACCTTGATATTAATATGCCTCATTCTGTATCATTCCACAAACTGTTTTTATTTCTTTATATTATATGCTCTACAAATTTAGAATTCATCATGTTCATAGTCATATAGTTTTCACAAAACAACAATTAAAAAGTACAATTTTTGGCTTAAAAAATTTAAGAATTGGTTCTCAGGCAATGAATTTTGAAAATAAAGCGTGTTGTTCAAACAAGTATATAAAAAACAAAACAGTTGTGTACCATCAACCTGGGAAAGGGCCTCCCTACATAACAAGCATACAAACTCCTGTTGTCGCCATGACCATGAGACGAGATGTAAAGGGAAGTAACTGCGTGTCATATTGTTTTTAAGTGTTTGATTTTTTTTCATTGTTTTGAAAATGGAAATAAAAGCTAAGCGTATGGCAGACTTTATGATGATGCTTGCGGTGCCTGTGAACCAAGACTATTATTTTTTTTTAGTCTTCCTAGTTTTATGCAAAGTTTGTAATGCTATTTCTTCAAAATGTATGATCATACAGGTAACAGCCTGTTTCAACATTCACTGACAGATTTTCTATCGGCACTGCAAAATACTTTCAAAGAACGTTGCTTTCGGGTCTTTGCCCACTTACAATGAAGTTGGGGTCTTTGAATACAGCTGGTGCTCTCTCTGGCGTCTCATCTATTATAGGGGCAGGGACAGACAACTCCAGCTCAACAGGCAACTCTCCTTCCTGCACAATACCAGGCTGTGAGAACAGAAACATCCTTTGTGGTGACAAAGCAAGGAACAGTGGCAGTTGTGAGCAGTGTCTGAAACTCAGCAGAGTAACCTGAGAGCCTTAAGGGCCAGCACATTTAAAAAACTGAAGATCCAGTGGAAAAACTGTAGGCCCAAACGTTATAGCTGAAGCAAGGAGACATACTCTTGCTATATACATGTATATTACAAAACACAACCAGTCAACCAGTCAACCAGAAGCTTTACTGCTATCACACCGAGTTCCCAGAGACAGAAAACAGCTTGTTAAACATCTTTGCTACTTACATGCCATACACCCTTTGAAAGGTGTAATCCTACTGTTTATAAACATTGATAAATATGAAAGTAAAGTCTATCACATTATTTAAATAATGCATCAATAACTTAAATAAGTTTGTTTTTTATAAGAATCTAAGCTGACAGATTTCTCATGCATATATTTTGGCATTAAACATTGTGTCGAGGCGATAAAAGGTGAGGTATCATTTGACTACATTCCACAATCGCACAAAATGATGGAAATAGTAACCATGGTAACTTAATGTAAGTTTGACATTTAAAAAAAATATGTTTGTTGATTTTATTTTTTACTGTATTTATCTGATTTACAATTTGCTTGAAACGTCTTTTTATTATATACATATGAATGAAATACTGGAATTTATCAGTGACGATAGATCAAGTTATCAGTCACTAGTTATCAGTTTACAGATCTGTAGTTACTGATCAACTTGCGTAATGTATTTCTTTACAGATCTATAGTTACTGAACAAGTTGCATAATGTATTTCTTTACAGATCTGTAGTTACTGATCAACTTGCGTAATGTATTTCTTTACATATCTATAGTTACTGATCAACTTGCGTAATGTATTTCTTTACAGATCTATAGTTACTGAACAAGTTGCATAATGTATTTCTTTACAGATCTGTAGTTACTGATCAACTTGCGTATTGTATTTCTTTACAGATCTATAGTTACTGATCAACTTGCGTATTGTATTTCTTTACAGATCTATAGTTACTGATCAACTTGCGTAATGTATTTCTTTACAGATCTATAGTTACTGATCAACTTGCGTAATGTATTTCTTTACAGATCTGTGGTTACTGAACAAGTTGCATAATGTATTTCTTTACAGATCTGTAGTTACTGATCGACTTGCGTAATGTATTTCTTTACAGATCTATAGTTACTGATCAACTTGCGTATTGTATTTCTTTACAGATCTATAGTTACTGATCAACTTGCGTAATGTATTTCTTTACAGATCTATAGTTACTGAACAAGTTGCATAATGTATTTCTTTACAGATCTGTAGTTACTGATCAACTTGCGTAATGTATTTCTTTACAGATCTGTAGTTACTAAACAAGTTGCATAATGTATTTCTTTACAGATCTGTAGTTACTGATCAACTTGCGTAATGTATTTCTTTACAGATCTGTAGTTACTGAACAAGTTGCATAATGTATTTCTTTACAGATCTGTAGTTACTGAACAAGTTGAATAATGTATTTCTTTACAGATCAATAGTTACTGAACAAGTTGCATAATGTATTTCTTTACAGATCTGTAGTTACTGATCAACTTGCGTAATGTATTTCTTTACAGATCTATAGTTACTGATCAACTTGCGTAATGTATTTCTTTACAGATCTATAGTTACTGATCAACTTGCGTATTGTATTTCTTTACAGATCTATAGTTACTGATCAACTTGCGTAATGTATTTCTTTACAGATCTATAGTTACTAAACAAGTTGCATAATGTATTTCTTTACAGATCTGTAGTTACTGATCAACTTGCGTAATGTATTTCTTTACAGATCTGTAGTTACTAAACAAGTTGCATAATGTATTTCTTTACAGATCTGTAGTTACTGATCAACTTGCGTAATGTATTTCTTTACAGATCTGTAGTTACTGAACAAGTTGCATAATGTATTTCTTTACAGATCTGTAGTTACTGAACAAGTTGAATAATGTATTTCTTTACAGATCAATAGTTACTGAACAAGTTGCATAATGTATTTCTTTACAGATCTGTAGTTACTGATCAACTTGCGTAATGTATTTCTTTACAGATCTATAGTTACTGATCAACTTGCGTAATGTATTTCTTTACAGATCTATAGTTACTGAACAAGTTGCATAATGTATTTCTTTACAGATCTGTAGTTACTGATCAACTTGCGTAATGTATTTCTTTACAGATCTATAGTTACTGATCAACTTGCGTATTGTATTTCTTTACAGATCTATAGTTACTGATCAACTTGCGTAATGTATTTCTTTACATATCTATAGTTACTGATCAACTTGCGTAATGTATTTCTTTACAGATCTGTGGTTACTGAACAAGTTGCATAATGTATTTCTTTACAGATCTGTAGTTACTGATCGACTTGCGTAATGTATTTCTTTACAGATCTATAGTTACTGATCAACTTGCGTATTGTATTTCTTTACAGATCTATAGTTACTGATCAACTTGCGTAATGTATTTCTTTACAGATCTATAGTTACTGAACAAGTTGCATAATGTATTTCTTTACAGATCTGTAGTTACTGATCAACTTGCGTAATGTATTTCTTTACAGATCTGTAGTTACCAAACAAGTTGCATAATGTATTTCTTTACAGATCTGTAGTTACTGATCAACTTGCGTAATGTATTTCTTAACAGATCTGTAGTTACTAAACAAGTTGCATAATGTATTTCTTTACAGATCTGTAGTTACTAAACAAGTTGCATAATGTATTTCTTTACAGATCTATAGTTACTGATCAACTTGCGTAATGTATTTCTTTACAGATCTGTAGTTACTGAACAAGTTGCATAATGTATTTCTTTACAGATCTGTAGTTACTGAACAAGTTGAATAATGTATTTCTTTACAGATCAATAGTTACTGAACAAGTTGCATAATGTATTTCTTTACAGATCTGTAGTTACTGATCAACTTGCGTAACGTATTTCTTTACAGATCTGTAGTTACTGAACAAGTTGCATAATGTATTTCTTTACAGATCTGTAGTTACTGATCAACTTGCGTAATGTATTTCTTTACAGATCTGTAGTTACTGATCAACTTGCGTAATGTATTTCTTTACAGATCTGTAGTTACTAAACAAGTTGCATAATGTATTTCTTTACAGATCTACAGTTACTGATCAACTTGCTTAATGTATTTCTTAACAGATCTGTAGTTACTAAACAAGTTGCATAATGTATTTCTTTACAGATCTGTAGTTACTGATCAACTTGCGTAATGTATTTCTTTACAGATCTGTAGTTACTAAACAAGTTGCATAATGTATTTCTTTACAGATCTGTAGTTACTGATCAACTTGCGTAATGTATTTCTTTACAGATCTGTAGTTACTGAACAAGTTGCATAATGTATTTCTTTACAGATCTGTAGTTACTGAACAAGTTGAATAATGTATTTCTTTACAGATCAATAGTTACTGAACAAGTTGCATAATGTATTTCTTTACAGATCTGTAGTTACTGATCAACTTGCGTAATGTATTTCTTTACAGATCTATAGTTACTGATCAACTTGCGTAATGTATTTCTTTACAGATCTATAGTTACTGAACAAGTTGCATAATGTATTTCTTTACAGATCTGTAGTTACTGATCAACTTGCGTAATGTATTTCTTTACAGATCTATAGTTACTGATCAACTTGCGTATTGTATTTCTTTACAGATCTATAGTTACTGATCAACTTGCGTAATGTATTTCTTTACATATCTATAGTTACTGATCAACTTGCGTAATGTATTTCTTTACAGATCTGTGGTTACTGAACAAGTTGCATAATGTATTTCTTTACAGATCTGTAGTTACTGATCGACTTGCGTAATGTATTTCTTTACAGATCTATAGTTACTGATCAACTTGCGTATTGTATTTCTTTACAGATCTATAGTTACTGATCAACTTGCGTAATGTATTTCTTTACAGATCTATAGTTACTGAACAAGTTGCATAATGTATTTCTTTACAGATCTGTAGTTACTGATCAACTTGCGTAATGTATTTCTTTACAGATCTGTAGTTACCAAACAAGTTGCATAATGTATTTCTTTACAGATCTGTAGTTACTGATCAACTTGCGTAATGTATTTCTTAACAGATCTGTAGTTACTAAACAAGTTGCATAATGTATTTCTTTACAGATCTGTAGTTACTAAACAAGTTGCATAATGTATTTCTTTACAGATCTATAGTTACTGATCAACTTGCGTAATGTATTTCTTTACAGATCTGTAGTTACTGAACAAGTTGCATAATGTATTTCTTTACAGATCTGTAGTTACTGAACAAGTTGAATAATGTATTTCTTTACAGATCAATAGTTACTGAACAAGTTGCATAATGTATTTCTTTACAGATCTGTAGTTACTGATCAACTTGCGTAACGTATTTCTTTACAGATCTGTAGTTACTGAACAAGTTGCATAATGTATTTCTTTACAGATCTGTAGTTACTGATCAACTTGCGTAATGTATTTCTTTACAGATCTGTAGTTACTGATCAACTTGCGTAATGTATTTCTTTACAGATCTGTAGTTACTAAACAAGTTGCATAATGTATTTCTTTACAGATCTACAGTTACTGATCAACTTGCTTAATGTATTTCTTAACAGATCTGTAGTTACTAAACAAGTTGCATAATGTATTTCTTTACAGATCTGTAGTTACTAAACAAGTTGCATAATGTATTTCTTTACAGATCTATAGTTACTGATCAACTTGCGTAATGTATTTCTTTACAGATCTGTAGTTACTGAACAAGTTGCATAATGTATTTCTTTACAGATCTGTAGTTACTGAACAAGTTGAATAATGTATTTCTTTACAGATCAATAGTTACTGAACAAGTTGCATAATGTATTTCTTTACAGATCTGTAGTTACTGATCAACTTGCGTAACGTATTTCTTTACAGATCTGTAGTTACTGAACAAGTTGCATAATGTATTTCTTTACAGATCTATAGTTACTGAACAAGTTGCATAATGTATTTCTTTACAGATCTATAGTTACTGAACAAGTTGCATAATGTATTTCTTTACAGATCTGTAGTTACTGATGAAGTTCAGGCATTACACATACAGGAACTCTGCTGCAGCAAATAATAAATGTAAGTGATGAGAAGCAAGTAGACATCATATCTATTTGGCCTTCGGCAAGCAGAAAACTTTACCCATGTTACCATAATCGATGTTGATGGTCGAAAACACCAAAATGTTGCAAATATAACCACGACAGGAGTAGAATTGATTGGACCCATCAGGTTTTACCACCTTATAATAAAGTTGGATACCAAAGGTAGTTACATGTATCAATGTCAGGGGCCTTTAAAACATGCCTCTGGGTCTCACGCTTTAGGGTACCAAGAAACATCTACGTTTATCCACGTTTTGTTGGATGCCAACGAATATTCCGAGAGTGGTCTACTTTACTGGGCACACTTTTTCCGATTTCAATTAGCATGATTAGCGCTGCGTGGAGAATCAAACTCATGTTGCCAACTTGAAGCTAAATAATAATGAGCAATAATAATCTAATTAATGAACACCCTACCACAGGACCACGAGTGCTATCACAAATAATTAGTGCTTGTTTACTAAGTCATCAGCACCCGATTGTTTACCTTTATGCGCATATGCAGTAGGAATTTGTCTGTGAAACTAGAAACTTCATAAAAAATGAACGAAGTTTGCTCAAATTATGTTGGATCACTTCATTCATTGATTAAGACATAGCTAAACCATACCCTACCCCACAACTAACTCTAACCCTCGTAAAGTGGTGCCTAACCCTAAGTTTCATAAAGGGGTGTTTGATAGGGAAGTGGTGACCTTCCCAAAGGATCGTGATGGGGTGTTTGATCAGAAAGAGGTACCTAACCCTAATATTGTGATAATCGTAAAGGGGTGCTTGATCGGAACGATGATCCAAAGGCCAAGGCTAGAGTTGGGTTATCTTACCCAAACACAACTAACCCTAAGGATTGAAGAGGCACGCAAGATCTGTGAAGCGAAAGACACAGTCGGCAGTCTGAGCCAATTAGCGCTATGGTAAGCTGCATTGTTGCCAATTTTCCACAATCGAATATCCATGCTAGGCTAGTTATTAAGCAAGTTCACCACATAGACTGCTTTCTGCTTACACCGTAGCAACACCAACACTAAAACGTGTGACTTAGGGATTATTTACGGAGGTTCATTCACAATGAAACTTTGAAAGGGGGCTAAGTTGTGATCATGCATATCACCAGCTGGTCACCGATTCAGGCGATTGCTGCGACCAGTGCGATCCAAATGCAATCATTACTACGACAGTTCATTGTCCACTATCGTGGTCATAAAGTGAAAGCAAACAACTTCGACGTGTAAAATGTCTCACTGTTCCCGGTCGTTTCTTTTTAGATGGAGTCGCGCCTGGGCTCGAATTTTTACTTCGAGATTTTCTGGATTTGCCGGTCGACGCCATGATGGAATAAGGGAGGTAATTCAAAACCAAAAGGGGTTACCCGCCCTTGGTTATTTATCTTTGGAGAGGCATACGTGTTCGAATACTTTTCGGCCTCGTCTGTGAATTTGTTTGTTGTTATTATTATTAGTTTCTCGACCCTGTGCTTAACTTAAACGCACCCTTTTCAAACGCCTTACATGTCAACTGCACCCGTGCGTATTATGTGCACCGCCCCAAACACCCTTTTTAAATTCCTGGATCCGCTTCTGATGTTTATAGTAAACGCGAACTCTTTAGGGTTTGCGGAGATATTGAGTAAAGCGACATGGCCAATGTTTTGAGAAGGCGTTCTATCATAAAGTCAGTTAACACCTTTGCCGCGGGAAGATGCACAAACACACACACACGTACATGCACGTCGATATATAAGTGCAATAATCTTGGACGCGACATTAAACCCCATTCCACCTCACCTCAATCCTCCATATCACATACAAGGACATGTGGCAGCTTTGGTATTTAATGAATATTTTGTATCTTTTGAACATTGTGATTGTATTTTTTGTACGATAATAAACATGTTAGCTCTGATACTTATTCTGTCATTGTGGTAGGTCAATGTACGGAGGGAATTGTAGAAGGGAATTGAGTTGTGATATACAAAAGTGATATTACTCAGAGTAGTTGCTTGTAGATGGGCACCTTTTATTGAACACAGCAGTAGGTTATAATGAAAGATCTGCTTAGCACCATACCTGTAATTGGTTCTCGCGGTTATTGTCCCACCAGCTGACACACTGTCACACGATACACCTCCCTCACTTATCAACATAAAAGATAGGTACACAATAAATCGCAAAGAACATTGTTTATTGCACAGTAAAACATTGTTCTATCATGCCATCATTTCTGGAGATGATTTGAAAATGCTCACACAACTTGAAGACGTCATAAATTGGACGACGTTATTTTTTAGAGGGAAGTGTCTATAGTGAGTTGTTCCCCATAGATGTAACATGGAAACGTAGGTGAACGCAATGGCCGAATGTTCGCATCCAAAAGTGGGAGAGATGTGACATTCAGTCTGGGAGAACAGGTTCTGATTATGGATGTGAAAATTGTGAGAATATGCGGGAAAGACCAGATTTACCCCCCAACCCCTGTTCATAAATTGGACTTCTATTCGGGGAATAGTCATTACGTAAATACGGGTAATATTTTTTAAGCGTTTACTTTTTACTAACATTCTTATAGAGGATGTATGTAATGCTGATATCTCCTATAAAAATTAAACACCTTCTGGTCGTTGTTTATCGTACAATAAAACACTGCAGGGAGAATAAACATGGTATATTCTCACTGCAGTTTTTTCTGTACGATAAACGACCACAAGGGTTTATTCTTCAATTGTGCAATAGGTCACTATATATTATAAGTATCTTCATGCCTTATTTTCATCATTTTTGTGTGAAGTTCTCCATTTTCTATATGGCCTAGTGGTTGTTACCATCAACCAAATAGATTTAAACAAACATGACTGGTTAACTTAGGCTTATTCTGCTAGTATTATGCAATGAGATTTATTCGTTTGTTTCGGGTATGCAGTAAGATTACATCGAGTAGTTGCAGTAATTGCAAAATTTTGTCAAGATTACTTTTTGAAAACCGATACCGCCTTTGTACATAAATCAGTTTTGGAGTATCAGGTGTAAATTTGCAACTAGTGGATACAAAGATGATCTGACATCCCAAATTAAGACATAATTCAAAGCATTTAGAACCGAACTCACACACTGCATTCATCAATTGCCTTCCAAACAATACTAAGGCCACACATTTGTCATAACTAGGGCCCACTGCCTCTGTTGAAAAGCAGCCAGTCTAAGAAATAAATGTCCGTGTGCGAAATATGCATCAGTCGGAAAGCGCACGTTAAATCTCCAAAGTAAGTAAGTAGGTAAGAAATAAATGTTTTTACATGTATGGGCGGTCGGGTAGCCTAGTGGTATATCTGTTTTTACAGACCCGTGAAGATTCCGGGGTAGAATAGGTCTTCAGCAACCCATGCTTGCCATTAAAGGCGACTGTGCTTGTCATAAGAGGCGTCTAACAGGATCGGCTGGTCTGGCTTGCTGACTTGGTTGATGCACGTTGGTTTGGTTTGTTGTTTAAAGCCGCACTCAGCAATATTCCAGCTATATGACGGCGGTCTGTAAATATTTGAGTCTGGACCAGACAATCCAGTGATTGATATCATGAGCATCGATCCACACAATTGGGATCGATGACATGTATCAAGCAAATCAGCGAGCCTGACCACCCGATCCCGTTAGTCGCCTTTTACGACAAGTATGGGTTGCTGATGACCTATTCCACCCCGGAATCTTCACGGGTCGGTTGATGCACGTCATCATATCCCAATAGCGTGGATCAATGCCCATGATGTCATTATGACTCCATAAATACAAAAACATATTAAAGGCAGTTTCTAAATGAGTCCGGTGGACCACAGTAAATCTGCTGAATCAGGACAATAATATGAGGCAAAACACAAGGTAGAATTAACAGCTTTATTTTGTGCACACAAAAAGGTTTGTGCAAATGACTGCAGAGAGAAATATTACATGACATAAAAACAGTTTCTGTATACTGGATTTCATTTGTAGGTTATGTCAGAACACAGAAAACATCTATCTGTAATGTCATCGCACCTGGGAGGGGGGAGAAAGAGAGCAAATGGGGCAATATTAATATGAAATATCAAACATTAAAAATGTTAACAGGCTAGCGTAAGTTGACCATGGTTGACATACACAAACAGAAATGATTACGCAGGCAAGCAAAAGAAGCTAAGCTCACATTCTAATATTTATACTCTCAATTCCTGCAGAACAAACAACAAAGAAAGGAACTTTTTTGAAAATTAGTTACTATATCAAGTCTTGCAAGTTGTAGTATGTTCTACCTGCACATGACCACTGTACCATGACATACAGTACTAAAACAAAATAACACCCAATTTTTTCCATGGTTTGGTCTTTAACTTCAGTTAAGTACTTTACATTAATTAGACATGTAGCTTGTGTAAGATCATAAATATCAATTATTAGATATTTACTCCCACCTCCCTCACTGACAAACACTCCACCTGAATGTTCCCAAGTATCTACAGACAAGAAAAGTTATGTGAGTTCCCTTCTTTCTTTGCTTGATGACATTCCTACCAAACTACTTGTCTGGATGTGAATCCATCCACAAGTAATGTACACAAGTGCTTGACACATTTCTTGAAAATAAACAAATAAAATATCTCCCCATCTCATTTTTTTCCAAATTTATATTAAAGACGACTAGATCTGCAGCCTCACCAACAGAAACTATCAAGAAATTCTGAGCTACTATTTCCTATGGTCCTAAAGATATCCTACACATATTGTCGTATTTCACCACCCACCGTACAAGGGAGAACTTATTTCATCAGATCAGAAACTTTGTAAGACATAATACCATGTCAGTGTTCACAAGACATACCTGTACATAAGTCCATGGAATGTTGTATGTTTGTGGTGGCTAGTTCGTGTGACAAGGTAGTCGTGTTAATTTCCGTCACTGGCATAACAGGCAGATATCTTTTGACATGCTACATACCATAAAAAACATTATCAGATGGCTAGATAGGTATAATACTAAATTATTTTTCATTTTATTCGTATTTGAGGTGCACATTTTGAAATGAGTGTCGCTTCAGAAACCACATTCACCCCTTGAGATTTCTACTTCAAGACATTGTATGCCCATGTTACATGTTAAAAACCAAATAAAACAAATGATTATCAATAACAGTTTGGATCATCAATATGGCTTGTTTTTGAGACAATATATGCCCATTTTACATGTTAAAAAAACATGTTAATTGATTAACTATCAATATAAATATTGATCAGCGATATGGCTTCTTTTTGAGGCATTATATGCCCATTTTACATGTTAAAATACCATGTTATTTGATTAACTATCCGTAATAATGTGGATCAGCGATATGGCTTGTGAGATAATGATATGCACTCTGATTAAAGATACATAAAAACATGAAAATGTCTCATGTTATGGAGTATGACAAAATAATTTGAATAAAACATGGCTCCCTTTCTTCGATGAAATGCATGATGAAGTATTGCACATCAAGTTGAATAGAAAACATGGCTCCCTTCCTTTGATGAAATACAGGACAGAATTGATCTTCTACACATTGACAAAATGACATCAATTCTAAAAATGATGTCATTCTAATACTACAAAAGCAAATAAATTAAATAATACTAAATAACCTTGTACATCATTTCCACATTCCACAATACAAAATACTCTCCAAATATATCGGTGTTGAAAATGTAATTGAATCTCACATAGTTGCATCATTAACAGTGTAACAGCATAACAAAAAGTGCTATGTAAAAAGCGAGCTTGGCCAAATGGATTTGTTTCTTGGGCACAAAAGTGTCACTTCTCATTGATATTTTTTATTACAAGCTTATTTGTTTGTTTGTTTAGCGCAACTCAGCAATATTCCAACTACATGGCGGCGGTCAGTAAATAATCGAGTCTGGACCAGACAATCCAGTAATTGACATCATGAGCATCGATCAAAGCAATTGGGATCGATGACATGCATCAACCAAGTCAGCAAGCCTGACCGCTCGATCCCGTTAGTCGCCTTTTACAACAAGCATAGTCACCTTTTACGGCAAGCATGGGTTGCTGAAGACCTATTCTACCCTGGAATCTTCATGCAAACATGGCACACTAACTATTTACTGTTAGCAGTGTTTCCACTACTCATTTTCACTTATAATTAGTGTTGGTGTAAGATTTATTAAAGAATACATTTAAGGTAAGAATCGATACTGTTTACTTAGTGTGCGATTGTGATCAATACTTGTATGGAGAAAAAACAATTGCAATCCTCCTGATGCATCGGTGTATCGTCCCACCATTGGATAACATATCTTCATGGTCATAGAAGGCACACCTTGGTTTGTTGGAACTATATCCACTGTGAGTGAGTGAGTATGGTTTTACGCCGCTTTTAGCAATATTCCAGCAATATCACGGCGGGGGACACCAGAAATGGGCTTCACACATTGTACCCATGTCGGGAATCGAACCCGGGTCTTCGGCATGACGAGCCAATGCTTTAACCACTAGGCTACCCGACCGCCCCTATATCCACTGTATAAACACTGATACCATACAAGTATCATACAAGTTTAAACGTAATCCAACATGGAGCATTGGCACAATCGCTATGTACAATAATGAGACATTTCAATAAAATAAAACAAGAACAAAATAATGTGTGCTGCCAGGTTATGAAAGAATACAGTCCATTGATGGAACACAAGATATGTTTGAATAATAATGTTGTCACTCGTGTCCCAGACTCAGAAGAATTAGTTAGAAATACAAGTAGGGCCAAGTAAAAAACACTATTTAAAAAATAAAAATAATATAATAGTGTCGTATTGCCCTGCCTGAATGTTCCCTTATTTCCTCAGTATATACGATAAACTATTTGTTCCGACAATAGGAAACAAATGAGATTTCTCTGGAGATCTTCATGATAGGGTAGTGCTGATTCAACAAGTAGCTCAACATTGGGGAACGGAGTAAGTGAATACCGTATTCGACGTAATAAGCTCTAATAAGCACCCACGGCGATATTTGCTAATATATTGGCTAGTGAACAAACCCAATTAGAACCCTTCCGATTGATCAATGTACACAAGACTTATTTATTCGCGTATAATACGCACTCGTGTGTTATATGCACACTTAATTATGGGCAAATAAATTCTCGAAACATATATCTGTCGTATATAAACATTTCAGGCTGTCAGCATAAACCACGAAATTTATCTTTTAACTCTGTTTTTTTTCACCAAAATAATATTCTAATTAGAGCCCCCTATTATTTATTTTGAGAGCGCCCTGGGCGCTTATAACGTCGGATACGGTAGATGAAGACTACTGACATGGTACTACTGGGCAGTAGGAGATATAGCTTATTCTCACAAAACAATCTCAACGGTCGTAGTACTTGCGGTGCTACTGTTTCAGAATACACTAGATATGAGGAACTTTCATTAATAATCTTGACTTCATGGATAAGCTGTTGTAGACTAGATATATTTGCATTTCAACACTCAAAATTGAACATGAAAATATTATAAATGCAATATCAAGCAGAGATGATATCCTCAAAATAAAGTTCCAGGAACTACTGGGATCTAAAATAAGTAAACATTAATACATTGAGGGTATGGCACTTTATCCCCAAACAACTCAAAATATGTAACAAGTGATTATTCGTTTATTGTATATGTAATAATTATGATGATGTCTGTATTAGGGGTCAATACTGTCAGTCGCAAAATAAATGCATCTCCAAAAGAATGCGACCGCTGGCCCCAAGCAAAAAATGCGACACCCCCTCCTCAAGTATCATTGGATTTATGTCTTCCTCCGTCAGATTTACAGGAGAATCCTCACCTTAACCCAACCTTACATTAATCCAATCACACACCAAATAGCACCGCTTATAAGCGCTGAGTAGAGTACTTCCGCTAAAACAATACATGCGCGCTGGCTTGTGTCGGCCCTTGATGCAGTCGCAAAGAACAAAGACGCCGTGCTGTGTGGGTGGCGTCTGTCTGGACTGATCTGTCAGGTGTGATCAGTGATGACATAGAACTCTTGTCTTGAGTGACAATTCAGTGTTTGCATGGCATTGTTTAGATAATTGTAACAAGTGCTGCTCAATAAACAGTGATGTGGAATACATAGTTGTTTGTTTTCAGCGTATGTCTAGGTTGGTATTTCTGCTATCCAAAATGTCTTATTGTTGATATAAATGCAATGTTTAATAATGTGAGCAAAGACCCCTCCCATTTTTCACATTTCATTCACGCTTGCGTTAATTTCAAGATTTACAGTAATCAGTTAATTAGTCTAAAAATATGTTTCACTAAATCATATTGACAGAATTTGGCTCAAAATTTTGTAATGCTTCTGTAAAATCAATTATTGGCGTCTGTGTACTGGAATCAATGTACAATTTAAAATATCTGACCTGGTTTCATTTGGATTCTGCCATCAGAGTAAGCGATATGACATAAGATGCAGTATCTTGTAATTTGATCGCATCGATACACTCAGAGCACCGGTATACAGGCCAGCTGTCGCACACAGCTGTTGCTGACTCAGCACATCTGACAGTTTCGTGGTCATTAAATAGTACCACAAGAGGGAAACTCAATATTCATTCTTACTAGCACCTGGTTACTAAACATAATGATTACTCTGACAATAGCATTAACAAGGAGCCGAGTCTACTAATAAGTGTGTTAAGTGTATTTATGCTTGCTTGTCACATGTTACTACACATTATGCTGAAGGACAAGGCAGGTTTGATTTACAAGTCTTGGTTATGATTTTGATTAAAAATATTTGGAAGCAGGAAGATGGTGTATTATTATAATTATTATGAACTTGTAGCACTAGTATTGCAATGGAGGTTACAATGAGATCCTTCGCCCATGGAATACAGTCCCCTTGCAACATAGAGAAACTGTATTCATGAATATATATAACCAATCCATAACAATGTATAATACAACGACCTTGTCTGTAGTTCTTACCAAATTCAGTGGGCTTATTTTTTGTATAATGTAAACGACATGTTTAAAATATACTACTCAAAAGAAGTTAAAGAACACCTGATTCTTTCATATGACTAGTTGTTGTCATGAGAGATTAACTATAGTAATATGAAAATTGGGTGTTCTTTGACTTTCTTTTGAGTAGTATACTTTTTATACATTTGGATGCAAAATACCTTGAATGCCTCACAAAACTAAGAGGGCTCATTTTATTGAAAATTTAGAGGAGTTTCATTATTGTTCCACAAACTCCTTGAATACATTAAATGCTTTGTTTGTGGTCCCTATCAAGACATCATCCTTTACAAACACACTTCACACATTTCAAACACACACCTCTTTCATTTCTTCCAAAGGAACCAATTTGGCAGTCAAAGATGCTATATATTGGTTCCCTGGCAACACTAAGATAGTGTCATGTTGAACACCATGGGTACAGTGTCATTGAGCACGGAATATGATGTGTCGTTGAGGACGGAGTTCGATGTGATGTTAATCGCTGTTGCGTTGTTGATGCAGGGGATGGATGATGCGGAGTGGTCCGCCATCAGTAGACCTGGACAGAGAGGAAAACAACATTTGTGAAAAAAACCAACTTGATTTGCAGTTTAGTTGTAGGGACTGGTCACTTAGTTTGTTTGTTGTTTAACGCCGCCCTCAGCAATATTCCAGCTATATGACGGCAGTCTGTAAATAATCGAGTCTGGACCAGACAATCCAGTGATTGATATCATGAGCATCGATCCACGCCATTGGGATACGATGACATGCATCAACCAAGTCAGCGAGCCTGATCACCCGATCCCATTAGTCTCCTCTTACGACAAGCATAGTCGCCTTTTACGGCACGCATGGGGTGCTGAAGACCTATTCCTCCCCGGATCTTCACGGGTCGACTGGTCATTAATTACAGTGATGGGTGGGTCAGAGGTTTTTTCCTCCCCAATTGCACATCATATTCTTAGGAGACTTTCCCCAAGTGTACATTTGATTTCATGACCTTCATATGTGTCTTATTTTTTAGAACCCGACCCTAGAGACACATATGTGTTGATGACCCTCTCCTGATACCTTCTGCGAAAACAAACAGGTGAACTATATCTTCTTAGCAGCTAGGGTAACTACGGCTTAAGCCTCTTTTGTGAGCCCGACAGTTGAATACACAGGCTGTTCAGCCAATCACCCCAACTGTACCTACCTGCAATGGAGGCTGTCATGAGACATGCCACAATTCCTCCAAACAGTGCACGGATGACAATCTGGGCCAAGTCTTTCACACGTTTGGGTGCCATTGGTCCAAGGCCACCCAGTTGGATGCCGATGGAGCTCAGGTTGGAGAAGCCACACAGTGCGTACGTGGCCATAATCTCAGACCGCCGCTGGTGACAAATCAAAATATACCATACAATCAAAGAAAAGTAACATATATGTACGTGACATGATTTACTTATTTTCATTTGAGGGGTCGGGGGTCAATTGTCAATATACTCGTGTCCTTGATGTGAATGATATTATGTATTTTCAAAAGGGGAATCAAACCTCTTTTGAGTGTCTTAAGAATCTACAATACTCTTTCTAGGACATTATCATCTTCCCGAGGCAAGGGAGTTAACTGACTTTAAAAGTCCAGTTTCCACCCTTGCCGAACTAGGCTGGAATAACTGGGCTCGATCGTTGCGCCACCAATGGCTATTACCAATTATGTCCCTTCTAAGCCTCTCCTATGGACCAATCAGATTCCACCTCTCGTATCACTTGCGTTTGCTTCACACAAAATGGTGGCGCTCAGTCAGAACGATCTGATCAATAATCAAGATCTATATTGTGATAAAACGGGTCTTACATCGCGAAATGCACCTTGATTAAAAACATGAAAAGATTTGGAAAATATCTGCTGATAACGAGTTGGCGGTGCACATGCTTTGCAAATCCTGCAATCGATCGAAATCTGCACGACAGTTTACGAACCGGATTTTGATTTCGGTGAGCGATTTTGATTGGACTATGCATAGACTCGTTAGTCCAGACAAAATGTAACTCCATAATACCAGCCTAGTTCGGCAAGGGTGGAAACTGGACTTTTATAGTCAGTTTACTCTCTTGCCTAGGGAAGATGGGACATTATATGAGGTCAATACCTGTTTTGATTGACCCCAAAAGAAGCAATATTGACAAAATGATTGATTTACACATCTTCCAGAGGCAAGGGTGTTAACACAAATACAATTATAGTTGCCACCCTTGTCAAACTAGAATGGAATTTTTGGCTCGATTGTAGCGCCACCAGTGGCTATTGCGAGTTGTGTCCCTTCTATGTCCCACCTACTGACCAATCAGATTCCACCCCCAATATCACTTGCATTTGCTTCAAACAAAATGTTAGTGCCCATTGAAGATGACCTGATTGATAATCAAGATCAGTGAGCACCTCATTAAAAAACATAAAGATTCGGAAAATAAGTTGACGGTACACATGCTTTAAAAAATCCTGCAATCAACCAATATCTGCACTGCAGTTTAGGAACCAGATGTTAATTTCGTACATGATTTTGATTGGACTTTACATAGACTCGTTAGTCCAGCCAAAATATAACTCCATAATACCAACCAAAAGCAAGGGTGGAAACTGGACTTATACAGTAAGTTAACTCCCTTGCCTCAGGAAGATGGGGCTTACACTGCTTTTAGCAATATTACCACAATATATCGACAGGGAACACCAAAAACGGGTTTCACAGATTGTACCCATGTGGGAATCTAACCCAGGCCATCGGTGCGACAAGTGAATACTTTAACCACTAGGCTATCCAATCGCCCGCAATATTGACAGAGGGCAAAGCACATGATGATATTGGGTTTTTTCAGGTTGATAAAAACAAGTATTAACCGCATATAAAGTACATAATTGATTTATTATGAAATATAGAGACAAAGGCAGATTTAACATTTCAATATACATTAGCTACAATAATGTTAGTTGGTTCCAACAAAAAGAGAAATCTGAATGACTTAGGTATGGGGAATACCATTTCTAGGTAATTCCCATTCTATCATAAATAACACAGGTCACTACCATAATTAGTCAGACCTGACACAGAGTCAATATGTTTTACCGTCAAATGACATGTGACTACTTCTAGGCCAATGAACATGAAAATACTTTGCATTACTTAATGATGTTAGGGGTATAACGATAAAGCCAGGACACGATACGATACGTATTGCAATACAAATATTTAAGTCAAATCTTGTTGAAATTCCTTGACTATAAATAGTTCAGAGCAGGTTTAAAAGGAAAAGCTAGCTGTAGACACATGTTCATAGCGGCTTTTCTTAGTAGAGAACTTGAAACACAAATTACGACACAAGTGTTTTGTCTTGTATCAATACAGAAAAAAAAGTTTCATGTATGGGATCATCACATGAACATTCACGATGCACCAGTGTATTATTTCCCCCCTAAATAATGTGGACTACCGTATTCGACGTACACAAGACTTATTTATTCGCGTATAATACGCACTCGTGTGTTATATGCACCCTTAAATATTGGCGATTAAATTCTGGTAAAATATATCTGTCGTATATGTATATAAACATTTCAGGCTGTCAGCATAAACCACAAAATTTATAAACCCCTTATTTCTAATTTTGAGAGCTCCCTGGGCACTTATTACGTCAAATACGGTATTTTGCTGTTATCTTGATTAAAATCTTTAGTTGAGAAACACTTACGGAGATGGTAGTTCCATCCTTGCATTCTTCACGGTTGGTGATGAACTTGGCTAGCTCCTTATAGGCCACAAACTCATTGAGGAAAGTCTTGATGCCGACTAGTTCGCCCACCACCCCTGCGTCCTTCCACTCCACCCCCATCAGGTACGCCACGGGCATAAAGACATAGGAACAGATTTTCTGGAGCAAAAGAAAGTTATACGGTTTGGGAACATTTAAATTTATTGTCTTCTTAGTTCTTTTTTAAAGAGGAATTTTTCAAAATAATTTCTGGTCGAAAGAGCAAGGCACTGTAGCTCAAGTTTTCTGTTGAGAAAACACACAAGCCAACAGAGCCATATATGATGCTTCGCCTGAATGTTAGTTTGTTGTGTAACGCTGCACTCAGCAATATTTCAGCTATGTGGCGTCAGTCTGTCAGTTTTCCATGTGTTTATCCAGTTTGCTTGTGAAGTTTATTTATCCCAGGCTTCATTTACTAAACATCAGGATTTAGTCAAACAGCTGAGCCTGACTATATAACATGGAGCTGAGTATTGAAACAGCAAGACATCAAAATCCTGATGGAGTGTAGACTGTGCAAAAGGTGTAGTTATAGAAGTTGAATGACATGTACCACTTTGTCCCTCCAATTTACCAAAGTCTACCTTGTACATACCAGGCTCCATTAATGTACCTATCTCCAAATATATCAAAGTTTCTTGAATTAATATTGTCTGTAAATACCAATGTATTAATGTTCTTAACAGCTGATATATTCCATTCAAGCAAGGTTGGAAATGTAAGGCATGTGACATAAACAATTAAATTTTCATTGAGGTATGAATCGAAAACCCGCTGAAAAGATCTATGAATCCACGTAGCCAGATTCAAACATTAGATCCCTGAGAACGGGAAGACACAGTTGGAAAAATGCTAGTTAGAAATGAAACCTAAGACATGAAAGTTGTGGAACCGAGGCAAGTGGAAAAAAAACCAGGCGAACGAGCAGTTTCATTCCTTCTTGGCCTTCGGTCTCTCATGGTTGTTTGGACAATGAATATGCACGAGTTCTGCTAAATGTCCTGTGCATGACGATACACATGAGCAGGAAGGGAATTCCCTCGACTGTTATATTGGGATTCCCAAACATTTTCGCCATGGTGGGCGTGGCTTAATTTTTTACATTCTTGGGAAATGAATGCAATAACAATAACATGTGACCAATTTAGCTAATCAGAATGCAGGAATTCCAATTCAAACAATGGGGCAGTGACAAGACCAGATTCACTACCCAGGTCACATGTCCAGTTGAGAACTGTTCACCCGACCCACGTACCCGCTGTTTGGTACAAAATGTCCGATTGGGATTGTTTTACTGGAACCATGGCCAAAACTATTTAGATAGTCAGAAGTAAAATGTGCATAGTCAGAAAGAAATGTGTACATTAGCGACTTGTAGTGTAACCATGGTGTTTTTTTGTTATTGTCATTATCAAAATACATGTATCACGTGAATAACCACGGGTGTGGTAGTCCCTTGGGTACCCAGGTCCTACTCAGGGCCCACCCGACCTGAGTGCTTGAGTTACCCCATCCCAGCATTCACCCACACAGATCAGCAATAAACAAGTCCTCACCTCAAACGAGAGCTGTGGGAAGCAGACGAAGGCCCCAAACCAGGACAGGACTGCATTGACAAAGGCAAGCAGAGCCAAGAAGGCGATGAGGTTGGCGGCGATGTTGGCGACGAGGCAGATGGAGGTGGATGCCCCAGCAGCTGCAGCCTCAAGGAAGTTGCGAGGTTTGCTGGAAATACAAGTATGAGTGAGTTGGGATCTATGTGTGGTAGTTTACTATTTGAGGCTTTATCATGGCGTGGTAGTTTACTATTTGAGGCTTTATCATGGCGTGGTAGTTTTCTAGTCAAGGCTTTATCATGGCGTGGTAGTTTTCTAGTCAAGGCTTTATCATGGCGTGGCAGTTCTCTAGTCAAGGCTTTATCATGGCGTGGCAGTTCTCTAGTCAAGGCTTTATCATGGCGTGGCAGTTCTCTAGTCAAGGCTTTATCATGGCGTGGCAGTTCCCTAGTCAAGGCTTTATCATGGCATGGCAGTTCTCTAGTCAAGGCTATATCACGGGTACAGGAGTTGGTTCTATCGACCACATCCCTACTTGTCAAGGTGTGCCTCACTCACTTGTCATCGTCCTCTTGCTCCAAGTCATCGATGTCCTCCAGCTTGCTAGTCTCCGTCTCTGGGTGGAGCAGTTTGGACACGGCCAGGGCACAGGGGGCGTTCATCACACTCGCACACAACAGGTGTTCTGCAGGAACACCAAACGACACATAGGCAGCCAGCACACCCCCAGCAATAGTGGCAAAACCTCCCACCATGACGGCGTGCAGCTCCGAACGAGTCATCACGTTCAGGTACGGTCTGATTAAGATGGGAGCCTCCGTCTAGAAAAGACATTAATGTTGAAGAACAAAAGTTAGATATTTTCACTGTAAACAAAAGCAGGGTTTTACACGACACAATTGTGCGTCCAGTATGGATGGAGAAAAATGAATATAGCGCGTCCCAAGGGACGCACAATAACATTCATCATTCTTACAGCACACCAGGAGCATGGGTTATGGGTGTTTGTTGTTTCATCCATCAAACATGGACACTGTCCACATGATCATTGATTCATTCCAGGCTCTAAAGAAATGACTTACAGTACACTACACTACACCATTTATATTTATAAAGGACCCGCACATTTCCTGTAAAGACCCTTAAAATTTATTATTGGGGATCCCCTAGTCCTCCACTTTTGTAAGACAAGGTAAACCCTGCAAATGGACAGTTTGCTTGCTTAATACCACAGTCAGCCGTATTCCAGGTGACCGTTTCCTGTAATTCATCATATCTGGAGTGAGTGAGTGAGTGGGTGGGTGAGTGAGTGAGTGAGTGAGTGAGTGAGTGAGTGAGTGAGTGAGTGAGTGGGTGGGTGGGTGGGTGGGTGGGTGAGTGAGTGAGTGAGTGAGTGAGTGAGTGAGTGAGTGAGTGAGTGAGTGAGTGAGTGAGTGAGTGAGTGAGTGAGTGAGTGAGTGAGTGAGTGAGTGAGTGAGTGAGTGAATTTTTATGCAACTTTTTGCAATATTCCAGCAATACCACGAATGGGGGACATCACAAATGGACTTCACACATTGTACCCATGTTGGGAAATGAACCCGGGTTTTGGGCGTGACGAGCGAACGCTTTAACCACTAGGCGACCCCACCGCCCCCATCATGTCTGGACCAGACACACCTGTGATGTGCATTCTGAAAGCATGATGATGCAACCAAGTTACCAAGCCAGACTACCCGACTAGTCGTGCCTCGTTTATACGGACACTTCACGCGTCATTTCACAATTCGTCCGTATAAACGAATTTCCGTATAACTGAAACCAGCTTCTTACTGGAAGAGTTACTTCCCTTCAATTATGCAACTCATGACAGATGACAGAGCTCGTCTCAAACGTAACTCAGTGTCACTTGGTTAATTGACTTCTTGCGAAACGATTACCACCAGCGGAAGGATTACCGAGGTTTCCCGATATCTGAAGTCCATATAAGCAGGGAATGACTGTATATTTACAGCAATGGAGACAATGGACAGATTATTTGCTAACCTGGCCGACGAAGATGTTGCCAGCGGCACACAGACTCTCGGCAGCCGTTGTACCCAGCAAGCTCTTCATCACGAAGGCGATGTTGCCGATGATGAACTGCATGGTGCCGAGGTAGTACAGGATAGAGATGAAGCAGCTGAAGAAGATGATCACCGGAAGCACCTGTAACCATGGAAACAGAAGTTATATATAAACATTTAGTAGTATAGTATTTTTGTTTATTTGTTTAACACCATGTTCAGAAATATTAAAGGTATATGACAGGGCCTGAATAATGTTTGCACCAGATAAAGCAATGACTGATACTTTAATGAAATCACTGCAGTGGATGTTAGACAAGCTATCAACGAAGACAACAAGTCTGACGACAGGATTCATATAGCGTCACTCATTACCATCTAATGTTTTTTTGGAAGTGTTCTACACCCTGAATACCCTGTAACATGATGAGACACAAAAAAGTTTAACAAAGTTTAACAGCTGTTGTTTGCATTCTGGTGTCTGCAATAAACTATTGGTGGGAACTGTGTGTGTGTGTTGGTTGTTTTATGTTGCACTCACCACTATTCCAGCTATATGATGCCGGTCTGTAAACAATTAAGTCTTGACCAGACAATCCAGTGACTGACATCATGAGCATCGATTCACGATATTTGGATTGATGACATGTATCAACCAAGTCAGTGAGCCTGACCACCCGATCCCATTAGTCGCCTCTTACGACAAGCATAGTCGCCTTTTTCAACAAGCATGGGTTTCTGAAGACCTATTCTACCCCGGATCTTCAAATGTCACTTGTGGAAACTGTCATAGAATAGCTTCAGGGAGAAAACAGGACAAATTTCTTTTAAACTATTGTAAGAAGTGCTGATCTCATAGCCAAGCAAACTATGCGATACAAATTGTGAACATGATACCAGAGTATGACATGAAGTGGGTGGACTTACCTTCATAGCAAAGATGTGGTCAGTGTATTTATCTCCGAAGACAAATTTGGAACCGAAATCGGTAAATGCCAGGAACTTCTGAATCTCCTTCCCAAGAAAGTAGAACACCCTGTAGCCGATATCCCACTTCAGGATTAGCACAGCAAAGTAAAACTGAAGCGTGAACCCGCCGAGCACCGGCCGCCATCGCACCTGAAACCAGCACCCATTAACAGATGAAGATAACTTACTGGATCATCACCAAGGATTTGTGAAGCACTGCAGTCAGTAATATGACAGTGTAGGGATTTATCTTGGATTCCAGACTAAGTGCCCTTGGCTTGGGACAATAATGAGATATACCAGTCGATGATCAGGAAATCATTAACTCCTATGGTAGCCAGCATTGAGAAAGTTTGTTTGTTGTTTAACGCTGCCACTCAGCAATATTCCAGCTATATGACATTGAGTCAGTGAGTGAGTGAGTGAGTATGGTTTTACGCCGCTTTTAGCAATATTCCAGCTATATGACATTGAGTGAGTGAGTGAGTGAGTGAGTGGTTTTACGCCGCTTTTAGCAATATTCCAGCTATATGACATTGAGTGAGTGAGTGAGTGAGTGAGTATGGTTTTACGCCGCTTTTAGCAATATTCCAGCTATATGACATTGAGTGAGTGAGTGAGTGAGTGAGTGAGTGAGTGAGTGAGTGAGTGAGTGAGTGAGTATGGTTTTACGCCGCTTTTAGCAATATTCCAGCTATATGACATTGAGTCAGTGAGTGAGTGAGTGAGTATGGTTTTACGCTGCTTTTAGCAATATTCCAGCTATATGACATTGAGAAAGTAAGCAGTCAGTGGGTAAGCAAGCAGTGTGAGTAGTGCGAGTGTGTGTGTGTGTGTGTGGGGGGGGGGGGGGGGGGAGTAAACAGTGGGAGTGTCTTGTGTCAGTGGGTGGGTGAGCCCTTGGTTGGCGTGTGACTGGTTGGTCAGTGTATGTGTGGTCATTGTGTGAGGTGTGGGTAGTTGTGACCAGTTTGAGCGGTTGGTTGGCGTGTGACTGGTCAGTGGGTGTGGGTGTGGGAGTGGAAGTTGGTGTGGGAGTGGGAGTTGGTGTGGCAGTGGGAGTGGGTGTGGGAGTGGGAGTGGGTGTGGGAGCGGGAGTGGGAGTGGGTGTGGGAGTGGGTGTGGGAGTGGGAGCGGTTGGTCAGTCTGTGGTCGGTGTGTGTGGTGTGGGTAGTTTTGACTGGTTGGTTAGTGGGTGTGTGACTGGTCAGTGGGTGTGGGAGAGGTGGTTGTAAAGTGGGTGGTTGTGACTGGTTGGTCAGTGTGTGGGAGTGGGATTGGTTGTAGGGTGGGCGATGACTAATTCTGTGGTCAGTGGGCAAGATGTTACCTGTGTGGGGCTGGAGGACAAGAGAAAGAGGACGATGATGAAGGTGATGATGCCGGCGAGGGACACCAGGTTGCTAGGGACCTCCCACACGGTGTAGATGATCAGTGCAAGCATGCCGCCATACACCAAGAACAAAGCAACCCTGAAACAGTCACAGTCCAATACTAACATGATAAATTATCTCTTGTCAAAATGTCACTCATGCAGCGTTAGAAATTGGCACTAGTCCTGTAGTCCTCGCAAAAATGCCCAATAGTAAAGGTACTATACATTATCATTATAAGGACAAATGGACTAAAACCGTTAGTTTCTATCACTGTCATGAAGTCATAAGTGTTGAAAATCACTGAAAAATCAGAGTCAATTTCTTAACATAAGGCAAATTATAATTGATAGTCATATAATCTGTCATCTCAAATACTTTTTGGTGATTTTCAATGCTTTTAAATTTTGACACTAAAAAACAGGCTTTTCAAGAGGGACCTTAAAATTCAAGACTTTTTCAAGCCTGTGCGAACCTTGTTCTCTATCAATGGCATATTCAGACCAATATTTTCAATCTTAAAGAAGAGTGCATGAACACATCACATATCAAAAGTCAAGGCATTGTCTGGACTAGACATGGATTATCATCCTCACTTGTCAACACCGTACCCACACTTGTGGTCTCATTTGTCAGCACAGTACCCATGCTTGTGGTCTCATTTGTAAACACCGTACCCAAGCTTGTAGTCTCACTTGTCAACACAGTACCCACTTGTGGTCTTATTTGTCAACACAGTAGTCATACTTGTTAACACAGTACCATGCTTGTAGTCTTATTTGTCAACACAGTAGCCATACTTGTAGTCTTATTTGTCAACACAGTACCATGCTTGTAGTCTTATTTGTAAACACAGTAGCCATGCCTGTAGTCTTATTTGTCAACACAGTAGCCATGCTTGTAGTCTTATTTGTCAACACAGTACCATGCTTGTAGTCTTATTTGTCAACACAGTACCATGCTTGTAGTCTTATTTGTAAACACAGTACCATGCTTGTAGTCTTATTTGTCAACACAGTAGCCATACTTGTAGTCTTATTTGTCAACACAGTACCATGCCTGTAGTCTTATTTGTCAACACAGTACCATGCTTGTAGTCTTATTTGTAAACACAGTACCATGCTTGTAGTCTTATTTGTCAACACAGTACCATGCTTGTAGTCTTATTTGTCAACACAGTACCCATGCTTGTAGTCTTATTTGTCAGCACAGTAGCCATGCTTGTAGTCTTATTTGTCAACACAGTAACCATGCTTGTGTAGTCTCACTTGTCAACACCGTACCCACACTTGTGGTCTTATTTGTCAACACCGTACCCACGCTTGTGTGGTCTCATTTGTCAACACAGTACCCACACTTGTGGTCTCATTTGTCAGCACAGTAGCCATGCTTGTAGTCTTATTTGTCAGCACAGTAGCCATGCTTGTAGTCTTATTTGTCACCACAGTAACAATGCTTGTAGTCTTATTTGTCAACACAGTAGCCATGCTTGTAGTCTCATTTGTCAACACCGTACCCACGCTTGTGGTCTTATTTGTCAACACAGTAGCCATGCTTGTGGTCTAATTTGTCAACATAGTAGCCATGCTTGTAGTCTTATTTGTCAACACAGCAGCCATGCTTGTAGTCTTATTTGTCAACACCGTACCCACGCTTGTGTGGTCTCATTTGTCAACACAGTACCCACACTTGTGGTCTCATTTGTCAGCACAGTAGCCATGCTTGTAGTCTTATTTGTCAGCACAGTAGCCATGCTTGTAGTCTTATTTGTCACCACAGTAACAATGCTTGTAGTCTTATTTGTCAACACAGTAGCCATGCTTGTAGTCTCATTTGTCAACACCGTACCCACGCTTGTGGTCTTATTTGTCAACACAGTAGCCATGCTTGTGGTCTAATTTGTCAACATAGTAGCCATGCTTGTAGTCTTATTTGTCAACACAGTACCATGCTTGTAGTCTTATTTGTCAACACAGTACCATGCTTGTGGTCTTATTTGTCAACACAGTAGTCATGCTTGTAGTCTTATTTGTCAACACAGTAGCCATACTTGTAGTCTTATTTGTCAACACAGTACCATGCTTGTGGTCTTATTTGTCAACACAGTAGCCATACTTGTGTTCTTATTTGTCAACACAGTAGCCATGCTTGTGGTCTTATTTGTCAACACAGTACCATGCTTGTAGTCTTATTTGTCAACACAGTAGACATGCTTGTAGTCTTATTTGTCAACACAGTAGCCATGCTTGTAGTCTTATTTGTCAGCACAGTAGCCATGCTTGTGGTCTTATTTGTCAGCACAGTAGTCATGCTTGTAGTCTTATTTGTCAACACAGTAGCCATGCTTGTGGTCTTATTTGTCAACACAGTACCATGCTTGTGGTCTTATTTGTCAACACAGTAGTCATGCTTGTAGTCTTATTTGTCAACACAGTACCATGCTTGTAGTCTTATTTGTCAACACAGTACCATGCTTGTGGTCTTATTTGTCAACACAGTAGTCATGCTTGTAGTCTTATTTGTCAACACAGTAGCCATGCTTGTGGTCTTATTTGTCAACACAGTACCATGCTTGTAGTCTTATTTGTCAACACAGTAGCCATACTTGTAGTCTTATTTGTCAACACAGTAGCCATACTTGTAGTCTTATTTGTCAACACAGTAGCCATGCTTGTGGTCTAATTTGTCAACATAGTAGCCATGCTTGTAGTCTTATTTGTCAACACAGTAGCCATGCTTGTGGTCTTATTTGTCAACACAGTAGCCATGCTTGTAGTCTTATTTGTCAACACAGTAGCCATGCTTGTAGTCTTATTTGTCAACACAGTAGTCACGCTTGTAGTCTTATTTGTCAACACAGTAGCCATGCTTGTAGTCTTATTTGTCAACACAGTAGCCATGCTTGTAGTCTTATTTGTCAACACAGTAGTCATGCTTGTGGTCTTATTTGTCAACACAGTAGCCATACTTGTAGTCTTATTTGTCAACACAGTAGCCATGCTTGTGGTCTTATTTGTCAACACAGTACCATGCTTGTGGTCTTATTTGTCAACACAGTAGTCATGCTTGTAGTCTTATTTGTCAACACAGTACCATACTTGTAGTCTTATTTGTCAACACAGTAGCCATGCTTGTGGTCTAATTTGTCAACATAGTAGCCATGCTTGTAGTCTTATTTGTCAACACAGTACCATGCTTGTGGTCTTATTTGTCAACACAGTAGTCATGCTTGTAGTCTTATTTGTCAACACAGTAGCCATGCTTGTGGTCTTATTTGTCAACACAGTAGCCATGCTTGTAGTCTTATTTGTCAGCACAGTAGCCATGCTTGTGGTCTTATTTGTCAGCACAGTAGTCATGCTTGTAGTCTTATTTGTCAGCACAGTAGCCATGCTTGTGGTCTTATTTGTCAACACAGTAGCCATGCTTGTAGTCTTATTTGTCAACACAGTAGCCATGCTTGTGGTCTTATTTGTCAACACAGTAGCCATGCTTGTAGTCTTATTTGTCAACACAGTACCATGCTTGTGGTCTTATTTGTCAACACAGTAGTCATGCTTGTAGTCTTATTTGTCAACACAGTACCATACTTGTAGTCTTATTTGTCAACACAGTAGCCATGCTTGTAGTCTTATTTGTCAACACAGTAGCCATGCTTGTGGTCTTATTTGTCAACACAGTACCATACTTGTAGTCTTATTTGTCAACACAGTAGCCATGCTTGTAGTCTTATTTGTCAACACAGTAACCATGCTTGTAGTCTTATTTGTGAACACAGTACCATGCTTGTAGTCTTATTTGTCAACACAGTAGCCATGCTTGTGGTCTTATTTGTCAACACAGTAGACATGCTTGTAGTCTTATTTGTCAACACAGTAGCCATGCTTGTAGTCTTATTTGTGAACACAGTACCATGCTTGTAGTCTTATTTGTCAACACAGTAGCCATGCTTGTGGTCTTATTTGTCAACACAGTAGACATGCCTGTAGTCTTATTTGTCAACACAGTAGCCATGCTTGTAGTCTTATTTGTGAACACAGTACCATGCTTGTAGTCTTATTTGTCAACACAGTAGCCATGCTTGTGGTCTTATTTGTCAACACAGTAGACATGCTTGTAGTCTTATTTGTCAACACAGTAGCCATGCTTGTAGTCTTATTTGTCAACACAGTAGCCATACTTGTGGTCTTATTTGTCAACACAGTAGCCATACTTGTAGTCTTATTTGTAAACACAGTAGCCATGCTTGTAGTCTTATTTGTCAACACAGTAGCCACGCTTGTAGTCTTATTTGTCAACACAGTAGCCATGCTTGTAGTCTTATTTGTCAACACAGTAGCCATACTTGTGGTCTTATTTGTCAACACAGTAGCCATACTTGTAGTCTTATTTGTAAACACAGTAGCCATGCTTGTAGTCTTATTTGTCAACACAGTAGCCATACTTGTAGTCTTATTTGTCAACACAGTAGCCATGCTTGTAGTCTTATTTGTCAACACAGTACCATGCTTGTAGTCTTATTTGTCAACACAGTAGCCATACTTGTAGTCTTATTTGTCAACACAGTAGCCATACTTGTAGTCTTATTTGTCAACACAGTAGCCATGCTTGTGGTCTTATTTGTCAACACAGTAGCCATACTTGTGGTCTTATTTGTCAACACAGTAGCCATACTTGTAGTCTTATTTGTCAACACAGTAGCCATGCTTGTGGTCTTATTTGTCAACACAGTAGTCATGCTTGTGGTCTTATTTGTCAACACAGTAGCCATGCTTGTGGTCTTATTTGTCAACACAGTAGCCATGCTTGTGGTCTAATTTGTCAACACAGTAGCCATACTTGTGGTCTTATTTGTGAACACAGTACCATGCTTGTAGTCTTATTTGTCAACACAGTAGCCATGCTTGTGTGGTCTCATTTGTCAACACAGTAGCCATGCTTGTAGTCTTATTTGTCAACACAGTAGCCATACTTGTGGTCTTATTTGTCAACACAGTAGCCATGCTTGTAGTCTTATTTGTCAACACAGTAGCCATGCTTGTGGTCTTATTTGTCAACACAGTAGTCATGCTTGTGGTCTTATTTGTCAACACAGTAGCCATGCTTGTGGTCTTATTTGTCAACACAGTAGCCATGCTTGTGGTCTAATTTGTCAACACAGTAGCCATACTTGTGGTCTTATTTGTGAACACAGTACCATGCTTGTAGTCTTATTTGTCAACACAGTAGCCATGCTTGTGTGGTCTCATTTGTCAACACAGTACCTTGCTTGTAGTCTTATTTGTCAACACAGTAGCCATGCTTGTAGTCTTATTTGTCAACACAGTAGCCATGCTTGTAGTCTTATTTGTCAACACAGTAGCCATGCTTGTAGTCTTATTTGTCAACACAGTACGATGCTTGTAGTCTTATTTGTCAACACAGTAGCCATACTTGTGGTCTTATTTGTCAACACAGTAGCCATGCTTGTAGTCTTATTTGTCAACACAGTACCATGCTTGTAGTCTTATTTGTCAACACAGTAGCCATGCTTGTAGTCTTATTTGTCAACACAGTAGCCATGCTTGTAGTCTTATTTGTCAACACAGTAGCCATGCTTGTGGTCTTATTTGTCAACACAGTAGTCATGCTTGTGGTCTTATTTGTCAACACAGTAGCCATACTTGTAGTCTTATTTGTCAACACAGTAGCCATGCTTGTAGTCTTATTTGTCAACACAGTAGCCATGCTTGTGTGGTCTCATTTGTCAACACAGTACCATGCTTGTAGTCTTATTTGTCAACACAGTACCATGCTTGTAGTCTTATTTGTCAACACAGTAGCCATGCTTGTGGTCTTATTTGTCAACACAGTAGCCATGCTTGTAGTCTTATTTGTCAACACAGTAGCCACGCTTGTAGTCTTATTTGTCAACACAGTAGCCATGCTTGTAGTCTTATTTGTCAACACAGTAGCCATGCTTGTAGTCTTATTTGTCAACACAGTAGCCACGCTTGTAGTCTTATTTGTCAACACAGTAGCCATGCTTGTAGTCTTATTTGTCAACACAGTAGCCACGCTTGTAGTCTTATTTGTCAACACAGTAGCCATGCTTGTGGTCTTATTTGTCAACACAGTAGCCATGCTTGTAGTCTTATTTGTCAACACAGTAGCCACGCTTGTAGTCTTATTTGTCAACACAGTAGCCATGCTTGTAGTCTTATTTGTCAACACAGTAGCCATGCTTGTGTGGTCTCATTTGTCAACACAGTACCATGCTTGTAGTCTTATTTGTCAACACAGTACCATGCTTGTAGTCTTATTTGTCAACACAGTAGCCATGCTTGTGGTCTTATTTGTCAACACAGTAGCCATGCTTGTAGTCTTATTTGTCAACACAGTAGCCACGCTTGTAGTCTTATTTGTCAACACGGTAGCCATGCTTGTAGTCTTATTTGTCAACACAGTAGCCATGCTTGTGGTCTTATTTGTCAACACAGTAGCCATGCTTGTAGTCTTATTTGTCAACACAGTAGCCACGCTTGTAGTCTTATTTGTCAACACAGTAGCCATGCTTGTAGTCTTATTTGTCAACACAGTAGCCATGATTGTAGTCTTTTTTGTCAACACAGTACCATGCTTGTGGTCTCATTTGTCAGCACCATACCAATGCTTTAGGCTCTCGCTTGTAAGCAACTACAATCAGAACACTTTTACATAACTTTCCTCCTACATTAAGCTGACATTCTATGGTATTGATAACCAATACCGTTCAAACTGGCATTAAACCCAACACACTCCCATAAGGTGCATCCTAATTCAAAGTCCTTTCAACTTGTGGGATCAGAGCTAAAAAACAAAGAGGCAAGGGGTTTTAGTGTGAGAAGTTACTTTTCTGTTAACAAAACACATATGTACGTGAACAACTTACCATTTTAGAATGTGCCATTTACTCTTGATGGCAGACTGAATGACTTTCATGAACTTTCTAATGTTGTCACCAAACATGTTGTTGATGTTTCTGAAGACGATGAAGACTAGAGCGATGATGGTGACAACGATGAGAGGGACAGCGCTGGTCTCGCATTGACGGGTGGCGTGCAGGTACAGTGCATATATGAAGTAGGCCAGGTAGGCGACTGCCAGTACAACCAGTAGGCCCTGTAAGGGGAGACAACTCAGTTAGGGAAAGGGAGACAACTCGTGATACATATCTGTAGCAGATTTTCTGTAGTCGCCAATAAGCGCCCCAGTGACGGTTTTCAGAAATTGAGCAGTAGTGAGCAAACATCTTTGATAATAGTTACAAGTCAGTTATACACCCCTTATCCGCTGTTGAGGATTTTTTAGCAAAAGATCTGTAATATACACTAGAAAATATGGACTGTTGTGTAAACTTTAGGTCTTTGTCAGGGCCCTGATACGGTCGTACAGATTGGTCTAGTGTGGGCAGGGGCGCTTCCTGGAGTTGGGCGCCGTGGACAACAAATACAGTATTGCCATTGGTTGATTTATTTTCATTGGGGTTGTGTAAAATAACTTGTGTTACCAAACTTTGTTAATGATCTGATATGCCGATACTATTTAACTTGGTATGGCTGCCGTCCAAAAGAATTCACCACAGTAAACACTACGGCTGCAACGAATACACTGTGAGACGAATACGATTCGTATCACGAATATAGGATAACGAATACGAAGAGCAATTCATGAATACAATAACAAGTCAGCAGTTGATGTATTATTTGTTGTAATCAGTGAAACAATAACAACATAAATTATTTGACATGGTTTGTTAATTATTAATATATCATACATTTATATACTGCACTGATCCAGGAACTAGTATCTGCACAAATGCGACTATGACCAGTGACCACAATACTATCAAATTAAATATTATGAGAGTGTTGTCTTTTGAAGACATCTATGCATATAATATGTTCTTATGGATATATGACTGCATATTCATAAATATTCATTTGGGCCACGAATAACGAATTCAATTCATGAATGGATACGGTTTGATTCACCGAATACGCGAGTGAATCGTAACAGTCCTAGTAAAGACATGTTGGAACAAAAATACAGTACTCTACTTGAAATGAAAACAAAAGGTAAAAAAAACAACTTAATCCAAATTATTCTGCAGCCGACTGACAAAAGATAGTCTGGTATTTTCCCATGTCGCCGATCCTGATATACAGGGACCAGTGTCTGTAATTCACAGGTTCTTTTTTATACAGGATGAGGACGAGGATTTTAGTTTTAACAATCAACCCTGATGCACTCACTTTCACGAAGATCTTCTGCTTCTCCTTGAAGAAGTCCTCCATCTTGGAGTGGAGGAGCGTCAGGTTGGAGATGAGGCTGCTGGAGCCCGAGTCCATGCTGGCTGAGGACGAACCTGCACAACACAAAGCTCCAGTTTATCAGATGCTATTACTGTGATTGATCAACGATCATGGGTGTGCGAGCCACTTTCAACATGTTCAGCAGTACTACATTTATACAACAGTGTGTTAGCCTGATGTGAGAGGAAGACCGAAGTGATGCAGGTCTTGTGCTGGTGCTGGTGCTGGCGCTGACAATCCAGAAACATGATCAGTGAGGACCGGTGAGCTGTTCCTCAAAGCGATCTTAGCGCTACGATGATCGTAAACCTATGTTAAAGTATTGGACTTACAATCACCTTAGTGCTAAGATCGCTTTGTGGAACGGGGCCCAGGACTCCATCCCCACATTCACACGTTTCGGGCAATCCTACCAGATACAATTCCGAGTGAATTCTGTCACGTTAGACGACTAGTCCAACCTTGCCTCAATGATCAGAGCATGCAAACAGGTAAACATAAGACAAGCTAAAACAATAGAAGCTACTACTAAATTATAAAGGTCAATGTTTTTTCATATACTTGGGGTTTGTATTTGCCTGCAACCTGATAAGCCACTTGGTTATTTAACGCAGCTCTCAGCAATTTTCTAGCTATATCACACAGCCTTAAATAATCAAGTCTTGTCTAACACACACAGACACAGACACACACAGAGACAGACAGACAGACAGCTTGTGATCAATTCGAAGCCGACATAGCCATGAGAGGGTGAGCCATTTGAAAGTACACACTCCACATAATATGTATGCAGTAGCCTGCCTCACCTCTGACTTTCATAATTTGATGTTGATTGGTTGGTTTGTTGTTTAACGCGCACTCAGCAGTATTCCAGCTTTATAACGGCGGTCTGTAAATAATCGAGTCTGGACCAGACAATCCAGTGATTGACATCATGAGCATCGATCCACGCAATTGGGATCGATGAAATGAATCAACCAAGTCAGCGAGTCTGACAACCCGATCCCGTTAGTCGCCTTTTACGACAAGCATAGTCGCCTTTTACGGCAAGCATGGGTTGCTGAAGACCTAATTTGATGTCTTAAACCATAAGATTTTATTTTAAATCTGCCCCATGCTTAGATTGGATTCTTATCTTAGAATCCCAGGAGCGGCCATGACACTTACTCTGTGTATCCTCAATGGCTATCTTGACAGATTCGGAGCCTTTCATGGGTGTTGACGTCAGCGTTGTTTCCTTGTAGGTTGGGGGGTCATCATCAGTGATGAAGCCGAGAGCTGAATCATTGTGTGTGTTCATCAGTGGCTTCATAGATTCACTGGTTGCAGAGTGGTTCCTGGCCATCTTGAATTTCTTCCTCAGCTCTGAAAACAAGCAATGTGAGCTTACTTAGTTCCAAAACTGGCTGGTTTTGTTAGGCAGAAATCTGTTCTAACCATGTTTAGTACAACATGATCTGCAGAAGGACAGAGCTCCAGATAACCTTTTGAGCCATTGAGTTTTTACTCTTGGGTTTCTATTTTAATTGCGTTATTACATTTTTCATTGGGTAACCAATATTTTTTCACTCATCTAATCATCACTCTTTTGGGCATGTTGGGTATTTTAAGCTTTAAAAAAATAAAATAATGTTTTAGATGTATATAGCTGTTCTAAATAAATAGGCTTGAATCAGGTCGTAATTAGCTCCTTTGTACACATGCTGGAAAAGCTTCATTGAGTATTTACCATGTTTTTATACATTTGAGTTTTTTATTTAATGTATGCGTTTCTGTACACAAATTAACGTGGATTTTGAATATATTTAGGGGGGGGTTGGGGGTATTTTACGCAAATACGCTGCTTATCTGCAGCTCTGAAAGGATGCTTTTTTTATGGATTTAGAAAATACAAAAACTGTATAAAGATGAAAATGACCATTGATGGCAAACTAATAATGATTATTTGGACATGTTTGTGCATATGTTGAGAAAGGTACCTGTAATATCTACTAGGGCTGCAACGATACAGGAAGGTCACGATACGATGCGCATCTTGATATTCTGGTCATGATACAATACGTATCTCGATACGCAATGATAAAAAAACAAGACTTAAAGCAAAGACGTATATATACTGTATATACGTCTTTGCTTAAAGCATGTCAAGATTGAACCTTTCATGATTTTGGAACAGTCAAAATTATTTTATAATAACAAGACTACTGAAGTTGTTCAGCTTCAAAGTAACTTTCTCTAACTTTCCTTCAAAACAATTTAAAGTTCAAACACCAGAAAATAATTAATGTACTCCACCAGTGAAGTTGTTCAGCTTCAAAGTATAGAGAGCTCCGGGAACGTACTATCGCTGTGAGGAGCTTGGCCGAATAAATTATCGATAGGATTGGCATAGGAAACGAAATTTGATTTACTTTAGTAGAAAATGTATCAAAACTTTGATCAAAATTATGTTGTATTTTGTTGTTTATTAATCAAAAACCTTTGACAAGATGTTTAAAGACAATAAATATTCTATCTTGAATAGTTCTGAAAATATTTTTGAGCATTTTAGTTAGTTTTAGTTTCGTTTCTGAAATCACACAATATGAATCGCCGACTGTCATAGCAGACGATCTTTTGAATAGTGAATGACCATGTCGCGCAAATCAAAAGAATTACAGACTTTTTTAATCAAAATAGAAAAATGCACAAAGCATTGTTATTCATTTCAGTTCTTTATTCTGATCTGTTGCACTTTTTTATATGATGATGTTCCAGTACATAATACAAAATAAGACATTTTTGAAGAAAGCAATTATCCCCCCTACTTTTTCAAAATCCCTCCTATTTTCTACATGATGGGGGGGACAAGTCCCCCCTTGATTTTCAATTCTGGGTTGGACACTGCACAGGGAACCACCATGACATGTTTTGGGTGTATGTACGTATTTGTGTGTCCACTATCTCGTCATCTACCATCGGACGAGTGGGTTCTCTTGAGTGCACAGGGTGTATGTACGTATTCGTGTGTCCACTATCTCGTCATCTACCATCGGACGAGTGGGTTCTCTTGAGTGCACAGGGTGTATGTACGTATTCGTGTGTCCACTATCTCGTCATCTACCATCGGACGAGTGGGTTATCTTGAGCACAGTGCACAGGGTGTATGTACTGTACACTAGTGACAACACTGTTGATGATCCCAAGGCAGAATAACAACTCGGTCACAAGCGGGATACGCTCTCAGCACCTGGGGCTTGCTAGCCCGACGCTTTCAACTGTGCGTCACTTTAAAAAATAGAATTTGGAACCCTGACGTAACTGATGGTTCTACTTACCGACAGGGAGTATCTCACCCACAGCAATGCTGTACTGACACAGGGGACCACCATGTACACCAGCTGCCCAGTGTCAGTGTCAAGTATCTCAGTGCTCCTGACAAATGTGTGGGTGGCACAGCTGTCACAAAACCATCTTAATCCAAACCTAACTGGTGTATTAATGACAAAGCAACAACAATTACATTATTCATATATTAATATTATTTTTATATTATGTTTATATTATATACATATTTTACCAGGTATTTATCTAGTCCTGCTCAGAGGCCGATATTCGTCCCCATATATGCATCAAATTTGAACTAGTGTAAGTGCAGTAATCTTGGATGTTAAAACTTAAATGTACTCGTTCTACCTCACCCAGAGAGAGAGGGGAGATCACAAACCAGCCATGCATGGAACACATATATGTGGTATACATATGCATATACAGATAAGCAGCGCATTTGCGTAAAATATCCCCCCCACACACACACATGCATTAAATGAAAAACTCAAATTATAAAATCATCACGCGTAAATACCCAATGAAGCTTTTTCAGCATGCGTACAAAGGAGCTAATTTCTGAAACACAATTATGAGCAAATTTACTTTGCGATTATGACTCATATGATGAATCTATAACATATACACAAATGATGAATCTATAATAACTAAATATGATACAGTATATTCATAATTTTCCAATTAGAATTGAAATGAAAGAATTTAAGAGATCTCATTTTCAGGTCAATTGCTGTCATGAAAAGGGGCTTTCATCATGCAATGGTAAGGTCGGTCTTGCTCGGAGTACAACTCCGCCACTGGGGACATTATCATGATTATTCATGAACATGATCCAAATACAATTTGTGTAGTCTTCATAAACTGACAGGCAAAAGAAAGTATACACTTGAAAATTAGATTTATTAAATTACAAATATTATCAAAATGTTTAGTCTTCATAAACTGACAGGCAAAAGAAAGTATACACTTGAAAATTAGATTTATTAAATTAAAAATATTATCAAAATGTTACTAGGTTGAAGAACAGTTGCCGAAACACTGCAAGCTTAAGGTCAAGTACACCACAATGATACACGTATCAAACATATCGCCATCGAATAGACTTTTCTTGTTTGTTTCATTTTTAGCCACCATCAAACATGGGTGTATATTTTCTTTGTCACCTGCAGTTTAGTCTATTTGAAGCCACACAACTGTTTTTTCCAGTATTGGTATTATAACAGGACATTATTTTATTTCTGTAAAGTAAACAATAAAATACATTACCTAAACTAAAAATGTTATGGAGAATATTGTTAGGCAGGGTTATATATGATCATTGTGGTTCAACTCCCACTCATCAATGTTCCAGCTATATGACGACCACATGTCAATAAACAAGTCTGGACCAGACAATCAAGTGATTGATATTTTAAGCAATGATAGTGCGGTCAAGGCACGATGACACTCTATGAACGATGTCAAGCCTGACCACCTGGTCCATTTTGTCTCCAACATAGGTTGCTGGGGTATACATGTATATTGTAACCCAGAACCCCCACGGGGAGTTGGGGTCACGGGTACAGTGACAAAACATGGACAATAATTGTTTTCCTGAAAAATTTAATTAGTCATAGGAACAAGAATTTAAACTAGCTTTGGGTTAAAGCAATTCTTTCTTTACAATTCACCAACAACACATTTGTTTGTTGTTTAACACCGCACTCAGCAACAGTCCAGCTCTATGACGGTGGTCTATAAATAAGATAGTTTCCTTTGGTCTCAAAGTGAGATTGCATGTAAATTAAAATAACATTTCTAGTGCTGCAGATGCACTTGCACAAACAAAAGAGATTCCACTGAACATTCAACATCAATTCTTAGGCCAGTACTAGAATTCTATTTAATTTCTATCACTTTCCTGCAATTTCGAATTTAATTAACATCACTCCTAAAAAAATAATTTTAAAATAATAATTATCATTTAAAGCATATATCCATATTGAAAATATGGTAACCTCTACTGTTTGTAAACAGGAAAGTAATATTTATATAGATAATTACATATATATGATCAATTGCTGAATTGTGTTGTATTGAGTACTTCCATATATTTCAAGTACGTAACAATATTCGAGAATGAAAACAATTCTCTCTTTGGTGTTTTACAAACACTGACCCGTGTCCAGTCACTTGATCACAGTAGAACAGACATGCATGCATCCGGTACAACACGTGTCGAGGGCTCGAAGATCTGCAGAGCAGTTCTAATTTACCTTAAATTAATAACGTTACGGTAACTTTATTGATGTGTCCGTTTTCTAAAAAAAAAATCATATTACTGCTTGATAAAATACCCTTTCGTATTACCGTTTGGATTTTGCTTGTTACTTGGTATCACTTATGTCGATATATATCCTGTCAAAACACGTGGGCAATCGACTAGGCCTAATCAATACTGGTAATCGTGACACAATCACGTGTGTGTGTGTGGGGGGTATTCTATACGGTAAATCTGTTCAATTATAGCTTAAAATCTACTCACCAACTCTTCGTTATATCACTGAAGATAAACCGCCCCGTGAAAGATGAGGTATCCACGTGGGACCGAATCCGTAGTTTTTAGTGGGCTTCGTGTGTAACTACACACATGAATGAAAATGTCTGCACGCGATGACCTCAGACGCGCGCCGATTGGTCAATAGGTAGGATTGTCCCACGCGCTGTTCGCCGCCAAAAATACTATTTCCGTGTTAATTTCATGCTCTTTGTCTAAATGTTCGCTGACCAAGAATGGTTGATACAGTTGAATTTCTTCCCGGGTATAGGTAAATTCATAAACACAAACTGGCAAGGAGGACAGATCGCTTGACGCTCAAGGAAGCATAATATTATTTACTGCCAGGATATTGCGTCATCAATCTGCGGAGTTGCAATTGTTTACGTCGCCGGAGATGTTTTGCAACGTGCAGTAATCGATATGTATCCACGAAATAAATGTGAAAAAGGACAGTGAAAAGATCTGAAGAAAAACCATGAATGGACACGAGTAGATTCGTTATTCAAGTTCCTGGGTCTATATAGGCCTATATGTACCTATATAACCCTGGGTACGCTAGGATAGGTTGAAATTTGTACGATATGATCAAAAACAATTCTGTTGACCGCTGTCGTAATGATAATATCATATATTAGATATCGTCAATGCTCGCCGAATTTTCTTCGGAATATTTAACATCCGTATGTTTTTGTTCAGGAACGCGCCATATTGACATCATCATCAATCGCCTACCAATACCTTAGTATAGATATATTAATTCAGTATTTCGATGTAACTATTCGGTTAAAAGGAAAACATTGAGTGATATTTTGACGTGCAAACAAACACACACCTATTTTCGTATAAATTATGGTTATCGTGATTTGAATACAGTTTCTATTCACCTATATTTGGGCACTGATCAGTAAATGGCGCCAAGCGGATATTTATATACCACCACAAACTATAAATCACACAAATCATAGTACGAATGATCAATCTCACAATATATCTAATATATATTTTTTAACACGATAAACTAAATAAACACATCGACATTTTAGCACATTAAGGTTTTAGAGAAATGTATTGATGTAGCATTGTGTCAATAGGCCTATACTTTGTCTGAAACGGAAGAGCATATGATTACAAAAGCTTGAGGTTGCAAAATTAAATTTAACAATATTAAAGTGCACATATGCAAAAAGAGTTTCTGTCAACTCTTTCTCATTCAAAACCGTAACCAAGAACTTGACAAACTTACAGATCCCAGAATTTTTTCTGTACCGCCAGGACAGCTTGCCGCTCCTCTAATGTGTGTACTGTTGTCCAAATTTGCCGCCAAGTTGCGCGCGACGTCTTCCGGGTTATAGCTAAAACTAAGTCTGACGGAAACAACACGAAATTGGACTGCAGGTATAATATATATTTAATATTTATTTTAGTAAGTAGGAAATAAATAGTAATTTTATGAATATTTCATATATATTTCGCCTTTCTGCCATGACAATATCAACAGGTTTAAATATATATACATGCTGACAGATTTGACACGCTAATAACTCGCCTTCTTTATTACTCAGTAGATTGTGTTCATTAACAGTTATTCGTTACGCAACGTGCCATGCAGGGCCACGTACTGTTTAAACGTCACGGGTCATGGAGAAGCGCTGTTATTGTGGCAGGGATAAGGGGTGTGACAATAACTCTCTTTCATGTCCCTGGACAATGGTCAATGGTTGAATGACCATGTGGTGACCGAGTGCGATAAGAATGGAAATTGACCCTTAAATATTCGCGCGCGTGTGTGCACATGCGGGACCATGTAACTACTATCTACTACTTCTATCACAGAAACAAACATATGGCCGAAATATATCATGTTTTTTTTACAGAATTCCGAGCCAAAGTTGTTTTTAATGAAAACTGAAAAACGTATCCGCATAAAACAAAACAATAAAATGTTTCTTAAAAAATCGAAAGTATTCATAAAGTAAATAATGTAATATTTCCGGTTGTGCATTAAATATATATATTCGTTATAAACGTAGTTTACTGTATATATATATATATATATATATATATATATATATATATATATATATATATATATATATATATATATATATATGCATAACCCTGCACAAGCTACAGAAACATTGTATTTTTATATCTGTTGTATGTATATATGTATGCGTAGTGAAGCAGACAAAGTTGAAAGTATACAGAGGTATTGTCCAAATAATGTTACGAAGGGTGGTTGAGCCTACCTAAGAAGGATGTATTTCTTTATTTTACAGATAAAGTGAGGCACAAAAGAAGCTTTTCCTCTCAGTTGATTTTATGATAGATTGTATTTTCAATTGAAAATATCATAAGCTAGCGATATAATATCTTAAAAATGAATGGAGACACTGGCTACAGCTCAGTCTGCAGGTCATCGGGTAGGCGGGGCAGAAGCCGGTCACAAACTGACCGTGTATCGTCGTCTCGCTAGTGGGTAGGAGGTTACTTGAACGTAAAAGTCTGGTCAACTGACAGTAATTCTCCATTCTATTCTCCATGCGGTCGGGTAGCCTAGTGGTTGAAGCGTTCGTTCGTCACGCCGAAGACCCGGGTTCGATTCCCGACATGGGTACAATGTTTAAAGCCCATTTCTGATGTCCCCTGCTGTGATATTGCTGGATTATTGCTAAAAGCGGCACAAAACTATACTCACTCACTCCATTCTACGTCAGATTTTTTCAACCTCTTCGGCCATTGATATAATGCGTATTACAGAGACTCATTTAAGTAACAACGACGTTATATCAGTGGACGTACACGTTTACATAGACTTGCCCCCGGGGATCGATGGAGTAGGCATTGTAATATAAGACACTATTTTTGATACAGATAATAATGTTAATACTAGGGACAATTCATATGAAGGGAAACTGTGGCTGTCGCTAACTCACAAATCAACTTGGTGTGTTAAATACATATGTGTGTACGGGAAAGAGTTTGACAAGTGTGTTCAACGAGAGAAAAGACAATATTGAAGTCGGGTACATAAGGAACTGGTAAATATTTGTGACGAGAACAGTGAGTGAGTGAGTGAGTTAAAATTTAACGTCGCATCGGCATTATTTCAGCCATATAGCGCCGAGACCAAGTTAATATATTTACAATTTTGTCATTAATTCACAGTTTTGTTTAAAAACAAGTGACGAGAACAGAGTTCTGGAGGATAGGAAAGGTCGGTATCGGTAGTGAACGGAGAAAAGAAATACCCATGGAAATCGTGCTGGAGGATGGATCAGTATGTACGGCGGTCTGTAAATAATCCAGTCTTGACCAGACAATCCAGTGATTGACATCATGAGCATCGATCCACGCAACTGGGATCGATGACATGCCCCAACCAAATCAGCGAGCCTGACCACCCGATCCCGTTAGTCTCCTCTTTACGACAAGCATAGTCGCCTTTTACGCCAAGCATGGGTTGCCGAAGACCCATTCTATAACCCGGATCTTCACAAGTCGAACTGAAAAGAAGGACATTATATCTGACGGTGTTAGAAAAGGAAGATCAACGTTTGACCACATCTCATCATTGACAAGTATAATTGAAAAGAGAAAGTTATTGAGAAAGTCTACATTCACAGCGATTATTAATCTTAAAAAGGCACATGATGGAATTGGCAGACATATTTTAAATGAAGCGGGCATAGGAGGTAAAGTGTTGCAAGCCACCAAGTCGTTATATCACAATGTGGAATGATGGGTGCGCATTAATCACATATATACATCGTGTTTTTCTGTGAACAGAGGACTGAAACAGGAATGTCTTCTATCACCTTTGTTGTTTAATATGTATATTAATGATCCACTAAATACCATCAACGAACTTGGAAAGGGTATTCAAATCGGAGAGAAAATATTGCTGCTTTAGCTTATGCAGACGATATCGTTCTATTGGCAGAAAGTGCAGCAGACTTATCCATTATCAGCCCTGTATATAAACTCCACAATTGTACACTTTAGAGGTCATAGCATTCCAAGAACAGCAACCGTATTCTATTGTGGTGATATTGTTTCAGGCGTTGAACTTTCGTATTATTATCTCTGTGTGCTTTTAACCGAACACCTAGTGAGTGAGTATGGTTTTACGCCGCTTTAAGCAATATTCCAGAATGGGCCTCACACATTGTACCCATGTCGGGAATCGAAAGGGTTTTCGGCGTGACGAGCGAACGCTTTAACCACTAGGCTACCCGATCGCCCAGAACACCTAGACCGTAACGCAATGGTAAAAACGTGCGGCGAAATCAGCAAACAGATCCCTTGGACTTTTAATTTCGAAATACAAACGGCTTGCCATTTAACGTTTTTACAAAACTATACGACATTATGGTATGGTCAGTTTTAAACTATGGATCGGCAATATGGTGAACGATAGAGCTGTCAATGCTATCCACCATCGAGCTATTCGAGTTTCCCCTGGACTTGGAAAATATGCACCAAACATTGCAAGAAATGTTTACAAGAAGTAGTCTAGATCGTGCACTATTTGAGATCATGCATGCAAGGACAACAGCCTCAAGACACTGATATAGCTGGAATATTGCCGAGTGCGGCGTTAAACAACCAACAAACCAACCAGTTCACGCACAAACTGTTTCAAAGATTGTGTTCCGAAGGCTGGTAGTTTTGGTCCGTTGATGCCGTTTGTATATTATTGGAAGCCAGTTGAACGTGAAAAGGGTCCAAATGGACACAAAAATGGAAAAGTACGAGTACCGAGCAGTCATTAAGTTTTGACTTCAGAGAAAAAGTACTTCCCCAAAAAATCATGACCACATGTCACAAGTGTATGGGGATAAGTGCCCTAGCTATTCCACCGTTGGGTAGTTATGTTTTAGGCTGGGAGAACAAGCCTTGTTGGTGACCCTCGGTCTGGACGTCCCTCAACTTAGAAAAAAGGAGGTAGAAAAAACTTATGCTAAGATATCTGCTCGTTGTGTGTCAACGTTTCTAAATTCTGATCTAAGACAAAAAGCTCTGACACTGCAGGAGATAATTTAGAGCTAATCGAGGAGGATTTCGTCAAATTGAAAAAGAGATTAGTAACGAGTGATGAAACATGGGTCTACCAATATGATCCCGAGTGAAAACGTCAATCCATGGAATGGCACCATTCCACTTCTCTGGCACGCAATTAATTCAAGTATTCAAGATCAGTTAAGAAAGTTATGGCCACTGTATTCTGGGATGCAAAGATTACTTAGAAAGTCAAAAGAGGATTACTGGTGCCAACCATGCTGATTTTCTTCATCGCCTGAGAGATTCTATCAAAGAAAAGCGAC